ACTAAAATATGGCATATAAAGGAAAAATACCTCGTGAGAACAAAGATTTGTGATAGAAGGAAAGAGTATAGAACAGGTAAAATACTCAAATATATAGGTTGGCCACATCTCGTTGACAGAGATATAGATTTAGATAAAAAAATTAAATAAATTTAGAAATAATGTGGCACAATACATGGACATCTAAAATATAAAACTAGGTATAGAAACAAGAATAAAATTTTCAAAGCACAGTAGCTGTAACCGTGTTAATGTATGGAGATGAAGCAAGAGTAAATCAAAAAAGATAACTCTAAAATACGGCTAGCTGAAATGAAAATTTCTAGAAGCACTTCTAGGGTTTTCAATATCCAGATAAAAAGAAAAGCACAGAGATAAAAATAAACTGAAAGGTTGAACTGGGGCTGGAGAAACTGGAAAGAAATCAGAAAAGATGGTATGAAACATCTATACGAATCCAAAAGCAGACTACAGACTTTCGCAGTGGACTACAGATGCAGAGGGAGAAGAGATGTAGGAAGGCCCAGAAGGAAGTGGCCACCGGAACAGGTTCTTGAACCTAACCTTTGAAGTGCAGAAGAAGAAGATATATACAAATTTTAAGAAAAATGCACTTAGAATCAGCTAAGGAGCTAAGAGAGGAAACTTGTTATTGAGAAATTGCAAAAATTTTATGAAAATCGTTTGACAGAAAATACAACTGAATTTCAGGGAATAGATTATTAACCACTCCAGGTAAATTCGACCTGGTACCAGAGGTAACCAAAGGTAACTTTGGAAGAGGTAAAAAGAGTTTTAAGAAACATGAAAAATTGTTAGTGATACTTTTCGTTGTGCCTGGTGCTTGCAATTCACATGAAGAATTCTTTTCCGGACACACCTAATATTTGTCAAATGAATGGGGATTGGTGTAACTTGCCACAATCCATTGGATGATGGCACATGATCAAAGAGAGAAATTCAAATTTGAAGAAATCAAATTCAATTCTTTAAATCTTGCTCCTGCCTGTTAACTTACAAATTGCCTGCTTGGGACTTATCCTGCTAGTCTCCCCTTTATACGTTACTGTCCTCTTTCTTTTCTGATATTATCTGCTTCTGATTGAGCTGTGAAATGAAATGTATTCAATATGTCCTGAAGAAATTACTGTCTTTTGGAATAAACTACATAGGGCAGATCATCATTTGTGATGAATGTTCATGTAAAACCCATCCTGGCTGCTCAACTCTTACTGCTTCTGAAATAAAACCATTTGCGTTGATAAACACAAAACGTCAACTACATTATTGCAGTTGGGATTGTAATGTCACCTGAGCAAATATTAATGAAACAGTAAAAAGCCCGATAGGAATCATAAACAAATAGAAATCCACAAATCAAATATGAGATGAAAGACCTGAAGAAATTAATTATGGATGTACCAAATAATAAAGCAGAAATAGATATGGAAGCTATCTATGATGAGGTAATAGAGGATGAACGTCGCTCAATAAACATTATTATGGGAGGGTGAGGGTCATTTGGACATAGGGCATATTGGGTCATCAAAAGTATCTCTACTCTTTGAGGAAGAAAATTTGTTTTTGTGATTAGAGCTATTTGCTGTTCCTTTATTCTGTGGAACCATTACTGCTGTCAAATACTCTCCAACCGATGATCTGTGCAGAGAAATATCGTTATAGACGTTTGCGGTAAATTTGGTTCCTTTACATTAGTAAGAGGATTTCTTAATCTAAGTAATTGAAATAGTAACTAACGATACATTATTCACATAGTATATCATTTATCTAATGTTGTAACTTGGTTTCTAAAAGTAATCTAGTTTGTATAGTTATTACTTTTAATTGTAGTAAGCACATGGGACTCATTATAACCAACTCAAATATAAATCATTAAAACCAAATTTATGGTGTATTTCATGTGTAAACAAAATGGTCAGAAAATATAAAAGAAAATTAGATCAGATTTCCATTTCTGGAGAGGATACATCTGCTGTAGCTGAAGCAGTGTAGGAGGGAAAGTTATCAATTAGAGATGCTGCAGCAACCTGCAACTTTAAAGAAATCTGCAGTAGAAAACAAATTAAGCAAAATAAAAAGACAGAAAATGAAGCAGCAGAAAGATGTGACAGAATAAGATATAAACTCATTTGAACGAAGATAATGAAAAATATGAGTTTTGTTGGCAATTTCAATCAAAATGAACTTCATAGCAATAATTCACACTTGAGCATGAAAAGCTGCTCTACAAATATTTTCTTCGGTTATAAAAAATGAACTATGGATTATAATGAGAAAGCACAATGATTGGCTTATGAATGAAAAAGAAAACTATGTAAGGGAAAGGTATGAAAAAGAAAAAGAGGATGAGGCTCTGAGAAAAAGTGTTAATGTATTCATTTTTCCTCTTGTTGTTGATAAAAACATTGTAGAATTTTATCAAATTGAACTTAAATTGCCAAAACCAAAAGAAATCAACACAACAGCCAGTATAAAGTCAATACAAATTTTCCAATTAATTACAATAACCAGCTACATTATTTATAAAATGTCATATTTCTTTTTAATGAAGTAAAGTCTTCAATTTTGTAAGAGTTAGGTAAAGCAAGAATCAATTTTGGTTATTAATTATAATTATTACTTTTTTTAATTAAACCTGTCCACTTGTGGTTTGTCGAAATGAACCCCACTCTTGGGGAACACTGGGACATACGCTACATAAATCACTAAAAACAATAAATATTTATTACTTTTAGTATCAATGTTTATCATATCTTAAAGCCAAATGTACTCATGTTTTTCAGCACATTTCATGAAAATTTGTTAAGAAATATTGCCTCAATTGCAAAAAAATGCCTAACAGTCCAAATGATTCCCACTCTCCTTTATATAGAATGTTACTGAAACCAACAAAATGTCTTCTCTTATTTTATTTTCTGGTAATTATTAAGATGGTCTTAAACTTTTGACCTGGAGTGTAGGTTTTGATTTTGAGTTTAAATTTTAAAACAGAAGAAAAACACAAATCAGCCATTACCTCCCTAAACCACTTAAACTCCCCCAATTTTCCCTGAGTCTTTCAACCCCCCCTCCTCCTGTATGCCTCCACAAGGGGGAATTATTGTTGCTCACTTTGGGAAAGACTGATATAGAAAGATAGGTGTGACTTCATGTATAGTCAGACTGCGCTAAAAAATGGAACTGAAATGCAAATGTCAGACTCACAATAGCAAAGAGGTTTTGAACAAGGAACCCTGTATAGACATTTCTGTCTCAAACAACTGACAAAAACAATCATTGAGAGAGGAAGAGAAAGACATAATTTTCATAGATCTGATAAAGGCTTACAATAATGTAAAAGAAGTACGGGGACAATGGAAGAGAAAGGAATATCAACAATGTATATAAATGTAGTCAATCTACTTTACAAAGATAACAGACATCAAATAAAAAAGCTGCCTTCAGCAAATGAAATTTTTTGGAGACCCCTTATGCTTCTATTGCATGAGCTCTTGCTTGGTTTCAGGATCACAATGGTGAACCCATTTGTGAGTAAAGTGTGAGAATTTCTGAGTAAAACTTATCTGGATTTTCTCTAAGCATGTTCAAATTCTCTTCCCAACATTGCTGGTGATATCCAGCTATAATACTGACCTTAACATGACGATCTTCAAAATCATGGTCTCCGCTTTTCGGCACAGTTCCTTTGAAGATGCTTCCACAGGCCGCTCTGAATGTGGGACATCTTCAATTGATTCTCTCCCCCTCTTAAATTGCTTGGCCCAAAATTTTGCTTTGTAGTATGAGGGTGCATTGTCACCATATACAACAGTCATCCTATCGTGGATTTCCTTAGGCTTTTTCTGAGGCCCTTTATGAGGAATTTTATCTCATTTTCTCTATTGACCAGCACGGCACTCCACTTAGCATCTTCTCACATCAAGAACTTATGGCAGACTGATTTGTAAATGAAGCCAAAGCATACCAAGACATGTCACAACTTGCCTGTACACGCTCAGTTCTCACACAGTGATGTTAGATACTGGGGTACATAACATATTGAATGTCCCTTGCACATTGTTAAAACCTTAAAAGAATGGAAAAGTGTAGAAGTATGGGTGAGAAAATATGTAATGAAATAGTGTTTAGTCTACTATTTCCAGGCGAGCTGCTAATAATGGCGGATGAAGATAATGTTATATATATTTCTAGAAAGTTAGTAGAAGAGTATGAAATGTGGGGAATGAAAATAAATGTGCAAAAGGCTAAGTATAGTGGTGGATGGTATGCCCCATGATTTATAGATTAGATTAGTACAGGAATCGGTAAAGGTAATACATAATATAAATATTTGGGAGTCACACAGCAGATGGTGGAGATGAACGGAATATGTATGTGAAAAATAAAAACATAAGAGAATCATAGTCACAAGACAGTTGAATCCAGTGCTATGGAACTAAATTGAACAAAGAAACACATATATAACTCCTACATAGAGAGTACAATAAATACTCTCTGGGACAGAAATCTGGACATTAAGAAAAAAACGAGACACAAACGTCAGACAACAGAAATGATGTTCTGGCAAAGATGTAAACTTTCTCTGTTAAATAAAATAAAGAAATGATGAAACAAATGAAATGAAAGAAACAACCTTGAACGAGTTGAATGACATTAAACCACTAAAATGGTATGGACATATCAGAAGACTGAAATCAAAGCTTCCAGAAAAGTTGGGAAACAGATACCCAATCAAAGAAGATACAGGAGAAGACCAAGGACATGGAACATGGCAATAACTGAAGCCATGGAGAAAAGAGAAATGGAGGAAAAAGATTTGAGGGATAAAGAGGCATGGAAATTGGGTTGCGGGAAATGACCAAGGTTGTAAAACAACTGGTAAATAGATAGATTCTCGTAAGTCATCTCAAACTAATTAAATAATATCTCACCTTGGGTAGTATTTGAAATGTCAGAGGTATCACAAGAATCGTAAGTACTAAAATGATCAGAGCTGAAATGCTGAGATGGCACAACAAATGCTATTTCTGAACTTGCATCAGCCCAATAAAGAACATGAGTTTCTCCATTATAGAGACTTCCACCGTGATTGTTAGGATGCAAATCTGTAAGCAAAAAACATGCTAAATTCAGAATAAAGTCCGATAGTTATTCAAATTCTGTACAGAAATACGCAAAGAACTTTGAAATTCTGTTCACACAAAAAATATTATTTTCCTTTGAGAATACCTCTTTTTAAATAAAATGTAAGCTTCCACAGCTGAAGTTCATATCTTCTTCACTGTCCGTGTAAAGCTGCGTCGCAGGCTTTCTCTGGGCAAGAGACCTCCTAGCCTTGAGAAAGCCTGCAACATTATTGGTGGAGCATTGGCCTCTCAGCCAGCAACCCAGCTTCACCACGACAGAGAAGAAGATATTTCTTTTTCGGTTTTATCTGTTGATTAAGAGTCTTGGTGTGAAAAAGAAGTGTGTAAAATGTGTAATTGATTAACAATTCAGAGATACATTTAGACGTAGAAAGAAAAAAAAACAACTTTATTCTTGTTACTTTTTATGTTACTTTTTATCATATTTTACCTATTATATTGCCAGTTGTTCAGTGGCTCCTCAAATTAAAAAGAAATATACTTAAGCAGAATATTTAGGGGGAGTTTTTATGTTAAATTTGATGCAGTTTTGTGTATAAAAACAGAGTTCTTAATCTTTGATTTAAGATGAAAAGTTTGTAAATTTACAATTAAGCATTTGAAAAATCAATTAATTAATCATATCATTAATAAATAAGTCAGATCATATGCAGTAAATAAAAAATTGGAATTGCGAGTTGTGTGGAAAACTTAAGCACACTTTTCAACACAGTAGAATAATAAATATTATTTTTTAAATGTCCTTGTGTTGATGTTTGTGATAACTATGGTTCTCACAATATTAATATAACAAAAATTATGTATGCATTGTGGATCAGCACGCTGCCAATGTCTTTCAAATGACAGTTATTCATCAGAAGTTCAACAGTATTCTTTAAAGCCAGAGATATATGGTATATCGGTGGAGATGGCTTAATGGAATATTTGTATGAATCCTGGTGTACTATTTCATCTGACAAAATATCGCATGACTTCATACCAGCACTTCCAGTTTGAGGTGGTGTCATAACTCTCCAACTTGTTGAAATATGCCCAGTCCATCCAGGATGCTGGTATACATTTACAGGCCATCCCAAAGAAAGCAAGAATTCCAGAAAATTTGGATGGACACTTTGATCAGATACCTAAAAACAAAATTAGTACTCGAACATAGTTACTAAACCAGTTTTATTAATTGAAGAGTCAGGGTACAGAAGTCTATTAGTTCATTCAACAGAAGTTGTCAGGACACTAAACCAAGTTTTTTCTTTAAAAATCTGACTGGAACTCACATAAACATAAAATTAATTTTATATCATAATTAGACCTCGGAATTTTAGGCACAAAAAAGTGATGATTTAGACATCTAAAATAGGTAAAAAATATTATGAAATTCCGCACAAAAAGTTAAGTTTTAGGAGCTTAAAATGTTACAAAATTACTAAGCGAGACATTTAAAAACATTATACATGAAAAGTTATGCTTTGGAAAACTGATCACAAAAGGATTACATTAGGCACATTTTATTATTCAGGAAAGTCATTTATTTTCACATTTATGAGAAAGTTTATTGTTTTATTCACATTCATTTCTTTTGTTCTTTCACACTTTTCTGTCTCTCAACCAGTCAACAGCGCAGCTGAGCAACAGTGTGCTGAGCGGAGACGAGAGTGAAACACCCTCTTAATTTTAACTTGCAGAGCTCCTTATGTTCGGTGGGTTGGGTTAGAGATTTCTGTGCGTATTCAATTACATATTTGATCAGGGAATATTCGCATTTTGGAAAATTTGAGGAAAGTATTTGCATTTTGGCATAACAATTTTTTTTTAAATGTGTAAATAAAATATCATAATTCTTCAAAATTACTTATTTTAGGGAGGGAAAAAAACAAAGGCTTTAACCACTCTTTTAGGACATTTTGAGCACTACTAGATATCTTCAATAGATATACTTTTTCATGATTCATGAATATCTGCAATTATTTTCCACAATCTCCTAAACGAACGAAATAGGCATTTGTTCTAAAATTCAAGATCTAATCGTGATACATGTCATAAAACTGAAAACAAGCATTGGGAAATTTTTTTCTAACACACTGTGCCTCCATACAACTTACACAGTAATACATGTATAAATGGACTGATCTCATGTTCTTATCCACAAAGCATGAACTATGTTTAAACTAGGTGCATGACACAACTGATTGTGAGCTAGTGTGCTGTGTCCCCTACCACATATATTGGAACCAGATTGTTTTTACATTCTTGCCTTACTTCATAAGAAGATAAAATATTTTAATAGTGAGCCGGACAACCGCATTTTTTTGAAAAACTATTATTACTGGGCCACAGTAATAAAAAACTGGATAAATCTTGTTCCTATATGTAGCAAATTGCTTCCTCTAATACACTGTATAGTTAGAATCCACGTTCAGTCGGTCCTTGATACTGAAAAATCAATTAATGCAAAATGTTAGTCCACCTGGTTGTGAACAGTGATAGCGGCTAAACTATAAGCAGGTTTATCACCAAAATTAATATTCCCTGATTGATGTGATGTTGCGGTTCCTGAAATGGATATTTGATTTTTGGGGTATTTTACATGACTTTCTTCCATGTAAATAATTTTCTAAAAAACGGCTCCAAATTTTTTCTTTAAAATATTTCCTTTGATAGACCAAAAGACACTTAAAGAAAAGTCACAGGTTTCATTTTTATTTAAATCCCACATTTTTCAAAAATTGCTACAATTCAAAATTTTTTTGGCGTTTTCCAACAACTACAATATTGAAGTAAGAAATTTATTTTATAATGAAATCCATTTATCAGAAATAGATCTTGAAATGAGACCAGTTTCAATTTTTTGAAAATAAGAGTAGCTTTTGCCTAATTTTGCATGAAACCTAGGCAATTTTTAAACTATTCTCTCAAAAACTGACGCAAATTTGTTTTCTTGTATGTAGTGAAGAACAGAGAAAGTGATACTGGTCCCATTGTAGGCTAACACTCTGTATTTTCGAAAATTCCAAATACAAAGTTAACATTGCACATGTCAATACTGATAACTATTTTTTTTGTTAAATAAAATCCATTCCAAAAACTCAATTTTTAAAAATACATCATGTACAATGTTTTAAAAATGAAGAGTTTAGCTCCATTGCAAATTCTTCGAACTGCAAATTCGATTTTCCTGCAGTTACTTTGACATGCTGTCAGTTTGGCAAAAAATGCAATGCCATGATATGTCAGTTTGAAATTCTTGCAATTCTTCTCATTATCTGTCAGCTGAGATGGATGGAAGAATGAGGATGCTTTATTTACTTGAACTTAAATACAATGTGTTTATGTAGGGGTTACCAGATAGCCAAGATAGGAAAATGGTACATTCCTTATATAAAAAAGGAAACTTTTCATCATTCGTAGAGAAAAGCAACAAGTGATATTACATTTTATGATTTATATGTATTTTCTATAATGAATTTTCATTCTTTGTTCTCTATATTTCAGGGTACTGAAGTAAACTTCACAACAATCACTATTAGAACTTTCTAAAATTTCTTCAATATAATGTTACAATATTACAGGGAAGCGAAGGCAAATTTTAAATGATAAAAACTTTTCTTCTTCTTCTGCACTTCAAGGGTTAGGTTCAAGAACCTGTTCCAGTGTCCACATCCTTCTAGGCCTTCCTACATCTCTTCTCCCTCTGCATCTGTAGTCCACTGCGAGTGCTGGTAGTCTGCTGTTGGGCATTCGTATGAGATGTTCATACCATCTTTTCTGATTTCTTTCCAGTTTCTCCAGCAGTGGTTCAACCTCCAGTTTATTTCTTATCTCTGTGCTTTTCTTTTTATCTAGGATATTATAACCTAGAGTGCTTCTTAGAAATTTCATTTCAGCTGCCTGTATTTTAGAGTTATCTTTTTTTGATGTTACTCTTGCTTCATCTCCATACATTAACACTGGTACAGCTACTGTGTTGAAGAATTTTATTCTTGTTTCTATCCTAGTTTTATATTTTAGATGTCCATGTATTGTGCCACATTTATTTCTAAATTTATTTAATTTTTTATCTAAATCTATATCTCTTTCAACGAGATGTGGCAACCTATATATTTGGAGTATTTTACCTGTTCTATACTCTTTCCTTCTATCACAATCTTTGTTCTCACTGGGTATTTTCCTTTATATGCCATAGTTTTAGTTTTTTCTTTGGATATTTTAAAACCATATTCTATTGCAGATTGATTTAATTTATATACTGCCATTTGCATTTTATCTTCAGTGTCCTGTATAATCACTTTGTCATCTGCATATAAAATAGAATTTAAACATTTTTTCCTGAAATAGATCCCTCAATCTATATTCAATTTCCATGTTCTAAACATGACGTCCATGTATATATTGAAAAGTGTCGGTGATATGCAACAGCCCTGTCTTACACCTTTGTTGGCGGGAATCTCTTCTGTCAATTTTCCTTTTATAACCAACTTAATACTCGTTGTTTCATATAGTTCGTTTAACACCTCTATCAAATGTTTTGGGTATCCCCTTCTTTCCATTATGTTCCACAGAAGGCTTCTATTGACATTATCAAAAGCTTTTACTATATCCACGAATGTTAGGTGTGTTTCACAGTTGTGTTCACATCTTTCTTCTATTATTCTTTTCAACGTGAAAATGAACTGTATCAGAACTGTAGACGGGGCGAGAGACCTCGAAGCCATGAAGATGGCAATCTCTCTAGGACAAGGGAAGTCCGAAATAACCTGCCCCCTCCTTGGGACAGAGGTTGTGCGGTGAGGGCTAGTAACCCATCCACGTAAAAAAATGATTTACTAGCAATGTCCCAGATAATGGCCTCGGAATGAAAAAACTTTTCAAAATAAGATTTTATTCCTTTTATATCACAGATCAGTGTTGTTTTCCAACATTCAGAAAATATAGCATTTAGGGGATTTGAAACATTTATATTGATTCTCCCTTTTAATTACACTTTTTGGTAGCAGTAATTTACAATGGAAATGTTTAAAAGCTGACTTGCCATGAAATTGAAAAGTCAGCAAGTTAAGGAAGAAAACAATTTTTTTTTAATAAATGATCTAATATCATAAGCATTTTGTATAGTAGATTAAACAGATCCTTTTGAAATGTTAAGAATGTTCATCATAACAATAATCAGTAGATCATTTCTTGAAGAATATATATAATATCAATTTTGGTAAAAATCCAGCTTACGGTTTAGCCACTAGCATTGTTCACACAGAGACTGACGAACAGCCATCAATCAATTTTCTGTATCAAGAACCTACCAAACGTGCATTCTAATAATACGTGTTAGAAGAAGTAATTTACTACATTCAGGAACAAGATTTATCCAGTTTTTTTGTTACCAGGACCTGGCAATAACAGCTATTCTGATAACAATTCGGTTTTTTCACACAGCATTGCAATACTTTCACTATTGTGCATAAGCAGAAGGCGAGAATGTAAAATTATAATTCTATTCAGGAATGAATTGTATAGCAACACTCATGAAATTCCGTATAAACAATTTTTCTATTCCAAACTATGTCTGAAACCAATGAGCAAGTATTCATGTTATGAACTCTTGTCATCAAATTCCAGAGACAGAATTACAATTTTAAAAAGGACTTAAACAGAATAAAAAAATAGAAAAAGAAGATATGATAAACCAGATTTTAAAAAAGGGACAAGAAGGAGAAATTGATAGAGATTTCAGATTTCTTTTCCAGTTTTTATGATCATGTCTTATTTGTAAAACTCTATATATACCATTTTATTTTTCAAAATTACAATCAATGTGATTCATAAATGCCAGTTTAACTCACCACATTAGATAATATTTCCTCTGGGGTTTTCTGCCCCGCACGTACATAGAAAATATGTACAGTATCACAAGTACGTGAACTTATGTTATCTAAGGCTTCTAAATCCTGCCAGAATCCAGGTTTGCTGGAGTCCAATGCAGTAAGTGGTGCTGAAGTGTTTGGTGCATTACCCTGAAGACATTGGAGCAAGTTACAAATTACAATACAATATTGAATGTAAGAAATTACACAAAATAATATATTAATAATAATAATAATAATAATAATAATAATAATGATAATAATAATAATAATAATAATGTTGGTGATGATAATGAAGATTAAAATAATATAATAATATTATTATTATTATTATTATTAACTTCAGTGAGCCAATCCAGATAGCCAAGATCGCTAAGGCAGTAGTACCGTGGCGATCTTGGACAGAAGGATCGCAGGTTTAAGTCCGGCCTTGGGCATGGGTCTGTTTGTGTGCGTCGTCCAATCATTCATTATCCTCATCATTCCCCTTCCATCCCCCCAGGACAAGCAACTCTGGGGGATACAAATTGGATTCAGCATAATGCTGATCACCCCAAAAAGGGAGTCGCCATACACTTGCACATGGGATAAATGTTACGGAGCCTCGGTAAGTGCAGTTATATATCTATATTATGCTTACATACACTCACAAGGATATCAAAAGACAAAAATCCAAAATGCGACAAAAATAAACGAGCTGTCTGGAACTCCTGAGAAGGTGTTGGAGGAGTGCATTCTTGTTCTGGATCAGGATATTTAGAACTGCATGAATGTTCTCTTACAGCTGCATCTTCTAGGGACGACTGATGTTCAATTACTTGCAAGAGGTGATGATGAACAGCAGAACCACCCTCTGAATTTATAAATGAATCTAAGCTTGGAATGGATTTATCACTGAAACATTAAAACGATCAATCAATAACATCCTGTAATAAAATTACTAGCTTAGCATAGTGCCTCTGGCAGCTATTTTCATTTTTTCCTTTGTTACACCTCAATGTTTTAGAGATACTTTTCAATTATGATATTACCAGGTTAACAATCACATATCTAGTAATACAACTAGGTATACAATAACTTAACCTGGTAATATAATATTTTAAATGTGTCTAAAATATTGAGGTGTAAAAAAGACAAAATAATAAATAAAAACAAACAAACTCACAAACAAAGCTATTTTAATGTTAAAAATATTTATTTGTTTGAATTTAAAAAAAAAAATAACATAACAGTTTCTGGTCTCCCTTCTCAGGCATACAAAGTTACATGAAAGTAGAGATAGGTTTTTTAAAAATAGTTATAATTCAATTGAAAGTTCAAATATTTAATAAACCATTAAAAAATGATTAGTTTACTTTTACATTTTTTAAACAATATCTAAATACAGGGATAAAATTCATTCAAATTTGTACAGATTTTTTAATCTTGATTTCACATAGAAAAGTACTGGGCCTACAACGGTATGGGTTTATGTTGATCCGGAACTTGCTGCTCCAGCGAGTTAAAACTCCCTCAAAATACTTTTTTTTTAATTCTTCAAAAATGTTCTGGAAAGCTTTAGAAAACAGGCTGTTCCCCACTGGTACATTGAGATGCATCGAATCACTTGGTGGACTAGAAGAGGTCTAACCATGAACAACAGACAGACCCAGAAACACATGGACATACAGAAGTGTCCAGATACTCTATGTAGATTACCAGCACTTACACTTTACACTGAGGAATACGATCCACAGACTCAGGAAAGTATCTATGTTTCACATCGTGCTTCACACCAACATCAGACATTGGAACAGGTCGACCTGGATTAGGGGCATGATACTTAGTCCCTGATTTATGCCTTGGTAAATGCCTAAGTTGCATTGTCCAAGCATGCCTGCCAGATGGTCCCCGAATTAACACAGTAACAGTTGGTTGAGGATCTATAACAATAAAAAAAGGATTATACAGGCAATGTAGGGTTATATTTTGATTAAATCAAAAGAATTACATAGTAATTTTAATAATAAAAAAAAGTATGAAAAAGGATTTGTCAAGTGACAAAATCTCCCAGCAGAACAGTTACTGCCATCTGAAGAGATTAAAAAACTAGTTCTTCTAAGTTTTTGCATCTCAATGAGTCAATTCTTCCCCATGTGAAAACAAACATTCTAATACATAGATTTGTATTATGAAACTAATAATGATTTTCCAGAATGAAAAATCAATTTAAAACAATAAACAAAATGTTCACACAAATTTACTACTAATATGTCATAGCAATATTGAAGTAATTTGATTATAAGGTATAGCAAATTTTATGTTGCATGCCTGTTGATGAGTTCAATTGACTGAGCTATGAACAAACAAATCAATTCGGTCAGGAAATCCTGTGAATACATATTTCTTATTGTTCTACTTTCAAGTTGGCAAACTTCATGATTAGGATACAAAACAGAATCAAACATTATTATTCTCTAATATTTTTCTCATCCTTGTAATGCCATTTTATATTTGAAGAGTTCCAGTTTAAAGATGATAAATCATGTCAAAATTGTGGTTTTTCTGACAATCATTTTTGGCTTCAACAATCTGTTGTGTGTGATTCTCAAACAGTTTAATTGATGATTCATAATACCAGATCTTTGTTGTTATCATTTTCATGTAACCTACTTAAACCTCTTACTTCAGGGTGTTTATTCCCTTATTTTTAAGGTGTTTTAATGAGGGTTATTATGTTGTACACCTTCATTAAAGTTTCACATATAAAACAACAAAATCAAAATAGCCAAATTTAACTTTCTTATGTGCGTTTATATGTACATAGTGCTCAGCTTATAAGGAAGACATATAAATATAAATATTTATGAATACGTATATACCCTGGTCATTTCCCAGAGGTTCCTCTAGGAGAGCAAGAATCGTCGAATTTTCCACCACAAAGTATCTGAACCTCTCAACTGCCATTTCTCGAGTTACTTCACCTCCTATCCATGAATTACAATGGCGTAACAGAGAAACTTCATCCAAAAGTGATGAAAGAGATTCTGCACCACAAGGAGAAGGAAAATAGCCAACCTGTGAACAGCAGAAATGTTTCCGACAATCATATATTTTTTCTTGAAAATTAAACTATAACAAAACAAAAGTAAAATAAATATAAATACTAACTTGCTCCAAAATGACAGTTAAAAGAGCTTCAGCAGCATCTCTCACTCGCATTGAAGCTGGTTTCAGTTCCTTTTCATCTTTCATTTTTATTGGTTCACTTGGTTTCCCCTGTGGAAAAAAGTTGCACATGCAAGGTCAAATACAAATTATGACAAAATATTTAAAATTCAATACATATTATACACAAGTTTAAAAATAGGTAGCAGCTGGGCCCACAATCCACACCTTGTAAATTATAGCCTTAATAGTAAATATTACTTCATACTGGAACCCATCTTCAAGCGGCCAGCCTTAAACTATGCATTTCGTCATATAATACAATATAATATAATATATTCAAATAAGGATTTTTTCGCCCTTAAAAATCCACGGCTTCGATTGGGTTTGAACCCGCCAACTTGGGTACAACAGTCCAGTACGCTAACCGTTACACCATCGTCACGCGCACAGAAATATATATTCATCGCCATCGTCGTGCGCACAATATTATCCCTTATTGTCACAAAGAAACTGAGGAAGTTAATTATCTTTTTGAATTCCTGTTGTAAGTATGAGCACAAGATAATTAGAAAATTACATTTGGAATCAAATAATTAAAATAAAAAATAATTTGTAAGTTAAATATATATAAAAAAAAGGTTAATTCATTTCCAAATTTAAAATATGTTGTTCCTAATCAACAATTTGGAACTGTTGATGTAGGAAATTAATTCGTGGAATAGTCCCATTAAATACCACTTGTGCTTTGGAAATTCTCAGATAAATCCTGTCCTCAATTTGCAAGTCTGGGATATATCGACAATTTCCAAAGCACTACGATAAATTGTAAATTTGTGAAATTCATGGTGTTTTTTATGTATGCTGCCAAGTCTTCCTTTTCTCACTCAACTAGTGTGGCATGTACCCAAGTGAGTACAATTAACTCTTTGCAGTCCTTTCACTTTTCCGTTTTCTTTATCTGGGTCATTAACTCAGAGTATTACACTCAGGTAGATGGCATCGGTTACCAGTACAAGGAGAGATTAGGCAGTAATTTCCTTCATTGTAGGCAAATTTCACCCCATTTTTTGTTGTTTGAAATCAGTTTGTTTTCAAGGTTACAGTTGTACTTACGGTATTGAGAAGTAAGCGTTTGAAATCGTCATAGCCTGAACTGAATGAATCAGTAAACAATTCTGAATATGAACAATCATCAGAAAACTTAAGGTTTCCAAGAATTTTTCTGGGGTAATTCTGAAGAATGTGGAGAAAGAGAAAGTAATAATAACTTAAATTCCTGTAAATTTGTATCATGATAAAGAAGTTATTTTAGTATTTTATTTTGCACATAATTGCACGTTTGGGGGGTTACTGCACGATATTGTACATTTTAGGTAATGCTGCCTGAAAATTGCACATTTTGGGATTTTACTGGATGAATTTGCAAGATTCGTAGTTTTATTGCATAAAATACAATTTTTATATTATCAGCTTGTTTAAATTGATCATTTTTAAACGTTTTATTTACGAAAAAACTTTTTATGACATAACTCAGCACTGCACTCGGGTGGTCTGCGAAACCTGAGTACCATATGTATCGTTCCTTGAGTATGAATCAATTCTGCCATTTGATACCCTATGAACTGAGCTTCTATACCTTTAATTATGCCTATAGTCTAATTAAAATTTCTGAATTATTGCAGAATTATTGCAATATCTGCAGCCCTTACGTGCAGCATCTGAGCAAGCGCTATGTTTGAGGTCTATCTTCCCAATTGGATAATACATCTGTTTTGTCAGTCTTTGCTGAACTTACCAACAAAAGGCAGCACGCACAAGTCACATTTGACCTTACGTTCAGGTGCAAAGCTTAGCAACAAGCTGCAATGGTTTCAAATTCATCGAATTTCTCAGAACAGACTTTGCCCTGGGGGGTTCAAGAGAGAATGAACACAATTTTTTACTGCTTCTAGCAGAGATCACATACATCACAGTGAGGCTTGGCACACAGACCAGTATAAATGAAATGTAGAATGAAGTTTTCCTGTTTGAAAGTTTTCTTAAGGTATATTTGCATTTTTAATTTTTTTTTTTTCCGTATATTTTATGCTAATTTAATTTTGTGTCCAAATAATATTTAAAATGTCAATTATTATATCAAAAACAATATGTACAAACTTAATTATAATAACACTAAAATTATAATATTTCACTCACCTTAAATGTCATTGAAAATATAAAAATATGTTGATAAGTGGATTAACAGGAATTTTTAGGCTACATAACACCATTTTGCAAAGTCTTGATCCTTTTATTGCATGTTTTTGCATGTTTTGATGTTTCTACTGCATATTTTACGGAGTTTTACTCCCAATGAAAATCTGGTCTTTAGTTATGTATTATGAATCAGGAAAATAAGTTAAAAATGTATATCTTTGTAAAAATAAAAATATTTTGTTTGAACTCTGAGTACAGTTTCTTACGTCGCAGCACGCCAGACCAATGCAACCTACCTAGTACCTGGGAATTTAAAGGGACGGCACACTGAAAACGCTGCGTCCTGCAACGAGGGACAAAGGACCGCAGAGGGTTAAAAAATATATAGTAGTTACTTTAGTTAAATTTTTATAAATTTGTGATTCTTAACACTGATCTTGAAATTGAAAATACAGTTTTTAATCATTTTCTAAATTCCTGCGATTTCGAGGTTAATGATATGCATTTACTTGTCAATTTTTAGAGTCAGCCATTTTACAAGTTTTTTGTCAACATCTGATTTAGTAAGGAATGAATCATTACCCATAAAATACAGCTCTCATTCAAGAGATTGTGTGGAAAATGCTAAAGCAAGAACATATATGACAACAAAATTTGTACTATAGTTACTTCTGCGATCAAATTTACAAGCAATGATGATTAGTAAGTTTGTATCTTTGTTAATGTGTGTGATTAGTTCATATTCCTTGTTTAACAATAATTGATATTTTAGAAATTACAGGATCAAACCCATGTCCAATTCAATATTGAGCCTATAATGTGTCATTCCATTTCTGTAATCTTCACCCTTCCTGCAGATCGTATCATTTAAATTGATCAGTGACCAAGTAAATGATTTGTGATAATTTTCTCAGAAATGTGTTATTAAGTCTTCAAAGTAGGAAACAGGGTCAAACATAAAAATGAATAAATCATGTTTGTATCAAATTTCTTTTGTGTGCTACGTCATTTTGGGTAGTTCTTACGTTGGATTATTCCCCAATTTTAACATAACACACTATTACACATTCTCCTAAGGAAGTTGTTTCAGTTGATGCTTACCATCCTCCTTTATGTTTGAATTATCAATGTTCCACAACATGTAATGATATTTATGACAAACGTTGGGTTTATGACTTTACTAATGCAGTCTACTCCATGATGGAATCATATCTTTGTGATTTATATGCTTTATACTCATCTTTCAATATTTGCTTTTCTGATTCTATTTCCATGTTTCACTTTGACATTTATCAGTGTATTGATCTCTTTGTTCCTAAAAATATCTTGAAAAAAATCTAGGTTTCCTCATTGGTATAGTCAGGATCTAAAAGAATTAATTTTCAGGAAGAAGGAATGCTACAAAATGTTTCACTCTCCACGGTATTATACTTTCTTTTTCAATCTTAGTTATAAATGTAAAAGCCAAGCAAAAAGCGACTTCACGAGGTTTAATGAGAATCTCTCACAACATATCAGTACTAATAAGAGAAACTTCTGGAAATACATTAACTCTAAAAAGACTAGCAGAGGTCTGCTCAACTCAATGAGGATGGGTTCAATTGTCTATGCAAATACTCAGTCTATTGTGAATGGATTTGCAAGTTATTTCTCCACTTTTATATTCATCACTGAAGTCAGGTAGAGGATATAAATATTTTTGATAGATGTTTTGAACTCCATTGATTTGATAGTTTTTGATCCACTTAAAAAAAATTGAAAAGCTTGACATGTAAGGGAAAACGGGTCCTGATGAGATCCCTATAATTTTGTTAAATCTCTCTTCTCCCAATTGCTGAAGGTTCTATTTAGTAAATCTTTATTTGAAGATCTGTTTCCCACAGAGTGGAAATCGTATGCATTGTACCAATCTTCAAATCTGGTGACAAGAGTTCTATTTCTAATTATAGACAAATTACAACTCTGAATGTAATTCCTAAACTATTTGAACCAATAAATATATAAATTGAATTACTTGATCTGTCCACTTCTGTCAGAGAGACAGTTTGGTTTTATTAGTGGAAGGAATATTGAGGCCAATCTCACATATTACTCTCAATATATATTTAATGGAATGGAGGATAATTTTTAAGTCAATAGTATTTATATGGACTTCAGTAAGGCTTTGATTCAGAGAATCATTCCATTCTTATCTGCAAGTTGTAATGTTTTGGTATATGTAGATATCTACTTCAATAGTTTAGACATTATTTGTTAGGACTTGTGCAGTATGCCTGTTAGAAATGCTACTTCTGAACCAATAAATGTTTTATCTGGGATTACCCAAGGTTCCCACCTGGGTCTCCTATTGTTTTTAATTTTTATAAATGATGTTTGTCATATTATAAGAGATGCTGAATTTCTCTCTCTTTTTTTTCCTATGACCTAAAAACGTTTAAGATCATTAAATCTCCTCAAGATAAAATTGTGTTACAGGAATCACTAAATAAATTTGTCAAATGGTGCACAAATAACAACCATAATTTAAATCCTTCTAAATGTAAAACAATTACTTTCTCTTTCTGTATATCTCTCTAACCTTCATCTAAGAGGATTATAGTATTAACACCATGATTATTGAAAGAGTGTCAAATATACAGGATCTTGGTATTGTTTTGGACGTCAAAATGTCTCTTAAAGATCATCATCTTATCTTCTTATTACAGTTAATAAGGCCAATCAGATGCTAGATTTTATTTATCATACAAGCTATGAATTGCACTCATTACAAATATTAAGATCACTTTATTTGGTTTTCATTTGACCAGTTCTGATGCACTCTTCTGTTGTTTGGCCACCTTGTTTTTCGAACAGTACCTCTTAGAGTTACAACAGTCCAATATAAGCATTTTAGATTTGCTGCGTACCTTGCAGGGGTTCAGGATCCCATTAAAACCCATGATTACGTTTGAACATAACTTCATTGAAATTTTATAGGGATTATGTTGATATGATGCTTTTGCGAAAACTTTTAAGTGATTCAGTTTTGAGTTTTGATTGTTCACTTTTGCTGTATCTAATGTGTTTAAAGGTTCCCATCTTCAATACCAGAAGATCACAAATGTTTGCTCAGAAGTTTTATAAGCATTTGTACTCAGCTAACAACCCTATTAACAGAATGTGTATAGCTGCCAAAAAGTTTAATTAAATTATTTTTGGTCAAATGATGCAGTACAACAGTCAAATGATGTGAAGAGTGAACTTTTTAAATCGGAATTATTTTTTATACTAAGTAATTAATCTTTGTAATGATTTTATTTATTTTGTCAATACTACTGTAATTTTCAGCACAGTGATTCATTCTTTTATATTGTGTATTTTGTATATTACCGTCAAATGTGAGCTGTATTTACAATTAGCATCTTCCTATTCTAGAAATTTTCGTTGTAGTACTCTAGTTTGTGTTTTTGTTTTCTATAATCACATATATAGATGTAAATATATGCAGTGAATTTGATTTTAGTTTGAGTTATTGAGTTGTAATTATTTACCTGCAATTTTTGTAATCGTTAGGACAAATTGCCCATTAAATTGAAAATAAATTAATAAATAAACATCATGTTACTCAATGTCCTTACACTAATTCTATGTTAATTTCTAGAAGATTATAATATTATTTAATAACCAATTAATTGTCAGATTGTATGTTATAACTTTTGGTTACATATTACAATTACATTAGGATGTTCATAGGTAGAGTTGGCACCAACAATAAAGAGGAAGACAAAACAAATTATTTACAAGAAAATGGAATAAGGAGCACAATTTCTTGGGAACACAGACAAACAAGGTCCAATTCCAAAAAATCTTTCAAAATTGGAGTTAATTTTAAGGAGTTAAAAACTCAACAAGATAGTGACTTTTAGCCCCAAAGAATGATTCAATTTGGCCATTTTGATTTTGTTTCCATCCCTGAGAAGCCAGATTAACACACTCGCACAACACTTCCAAAAGCAAAACACCTTAACACTAAAAAATAATAATCCTACTAATACCTTGCTAAGAGTAGGAACATGGAATATTAGAGGACTAACGCACAAAGAAATTGAATTTCACTAGGAACTGAAAAATCGGAACCTAGATATCACTGTAATCTCAGAAACAAAAACAAAAAACACACATTTTTTGTTTCTACATAGAATTACAACAATTGGTACACTAAATAAGCCAAAATGAGTTTCCCATTATCTCAGGAGATTTCAGAATGCCTGAGTGGGTGAAAAGGAAGTCCCTTCTTGCAAAGGGTCGGAAGGTGATAAAACTCTAAATGAAAATGGGAAAACACTACTAAAATTTTGCTTATTCAATAACCTGATAATAACTAATAGTTTTTTAAACCCAAAGATAAACATATATTTGGGACATGAGAGGCACAAAATCTATCCTAGATTATGTAATGTAGTCAGCAGAACCCTATTAAATTAAGAGACGGAAGAAAGTCTATAACAATAACAACCAACAGCGGCCTAAAACAGGGATGAGGTAATAATAATAATGATAGTAATAATAATAATAATAATAATAATAATAATAATGATAGTAATAATAATAATAATAATAATAATAATAATAATAATAATAATTTATTTGCTCATATTAACTCAATATTACAAGTTTTGAAGCATTGTAATGCATAAGTGGTCTGTAGCCTACTCTCTTCAACATGTATATCAACCATCTATGGAGAAACTGGAGGAAGAAATTAAACAAGGTATCCAAATCAGGAACGACAATAAGATACATACAATATTATACACTGACAATCAATCATAACAGATTCTGAAGATGATCTACAAAGAGCAGTTTTTGAACTAACAAAAGAGGTCCAGAAATATTCTATGAAAATATCAGTTCACAAAAGGAAATGGCACTGCAAAGGCAAAGAAAAGAGAGCCAAAATTGTAAGAAATGGAGAAATAGTGGAATAAGTCAACAAATTTTCATGCAAATATATGCAAAAATAAAACTAAAAATTCACATCATAACAGCTAAACCTATAACTATGTATGAATCTGAGACATGAAAGAGGGAGAGAAACAAAAAATACAAGCAGCACATGTGAGATTTCTGAGACACCTTGTAGGAGTTACAAGGACAGACTGAGAAACAAAGACATTGGAAGGAATTAGATGTCTAATTTACAGAAAAGGAGACCCAAAAAGATGTGGTAGTTATAGAGGTATTACCAACAAAAACTTTCTTGTCTGATATATAACAGGTGAAGTGAAATAATAAAACCCACACTGGGGAATTTTCAAATGGGCTTTCACCCCAATCACTCAACAACAGATAATATTCATATAGTTCAACAGATCTATGAAGAGTGTTATTAGTATAATATCGATATACACAACGTGTTTATTGATTTTAAACAAGCTTTTGACAGAGTTAAGAGATCTGCAATATATAATAGTCTTATTGCACTGGGAGTACCAACCAAAATTATCAGACTAGTTAAATTAAGAATAAATAAAACCAAGGCCAAGGTAAGCATAAACAACGACTACTCACAAAACATTGATATAAATTAAGGTGTAAAGCAAGGAGACCCCCCTCTTGGCGCTCCTTTTCAGCATTGTAGATAGAATACTGAAGAAACTAGATTTTCAAAGTAATATTTCTAATCGAATTAAGCAGATTTATGGGTATGCTGACGATGTATTAATTTTGATGAGATCAGTATTGATTTTGATGAGATCAATGCTGGCGTCGGTCTCAACATTCCATCAGCTGAAAGCTGATTCTGAAAACACAGACTTAATTATAAATGCCTCTAAAACCGAGTACATGAAATGCTCCCAAAATAAGTGTGAGAAATCAAAAGTAATTCTGGAGAACTTGTAAATTGAAAGTTTGCACTCATTTAAATACCTTGGCACAATAGTCAATATTAACAATAGAAGATGAAATAAAAGAACGGATTGTGGCTGGAAATAAGGCATTGTATGCATATAAAACTCTCTTTGATTATAAATTCCTTTCACAATATTTAAAATTGAAACTATACAACATTGTTATAAAACCAATAGTGATTCATGGGTGTGAAATATGGACTGTATTGAAGAAGCAGACTCTACAAAAATTAAGTACATTTGAAAGAAAGATCTTGAGAAAAATCTATAGCCCTGCGAGACTTGGTGATAATATCTGGAGACTGATAACAAATAAATTGGGAGTACAGATTAAACAAAAAAATATTGTTAGAGAAATAAAATCTAGGAGAATAGCATGGATATGGCAGAATGGAAACTGATAGCTATGAGGTGTAATGGCACACCAAGAACGAAATGGAAAGATGACGTTGTGGAAGACCTAAGTAGAATGAAAATTAAGAATTGGAAATATTTGGCTCAAGACAGGAAGGAGTGGCAAAAGGTTGTTGAGCAGGCCAAGATCCACCTCGGTTTGTAGCGCCAACATAAGACGAAGAGGACCCCTACTCTATAAGATGGGTGCTCAAATTCGAGCTGTAATTTGAAATCTATATAAAATTAAATTGAAGGAATTGATGCTGATATAATATTCCATTATAAAATTAAACTGACTATTTGATTTTTTGTGAAATTTAATCTCAACGCTTAGCAATGTTGGAATGTTTAGTCGTGCATAACACTAGGCACATAATGCTGTAATGCACAGTTCAGGGGCTGACCATTCAAAGTTAGAATCCAATTTGAAGCTCTTTTTTATTCTTAAAATAATGATTTCCAAAGTATGAAATGTTCATATGGGTCCAACTATTTAAACTTTTGCAGTACAATTTATAGTTTACAGTACAATTTTCCCTATGGCAAAAAATAACTAAATGTGGATAATTTTAACACACTAAATTGTACAAATATGTCTAAACTGACTTTCTTTCAAATCTGTATCTGATTTAAAAGATAACAGTCATTTGTTAGAGCCAAGAATATACTTATACAATAGTATATGAAGATTTCCATGTTATTTTGATGTATTGCAATTTACTTAACAATCACTTCATCAAAAAGGGTAATTCCAAAAATTTTTCTATAAAAGGAAAAAAACTTTCAGACACAACCTAAATGTCTAACGTTCTGAACCAGTTTAAAACAACAAAGAACTAGAAAGCTGTACCTGTGATTTCGTTCCTGAGATGCCCAATTCAACTACCTCCAAAACAGTGGTTAGTCCTTCTTTGTCTTGCAATAAATATGGATGAGCTACAAGCCACACAGCAGCACACTGAAAAGCAGCTACGATAGTTGAATGCAAATCTTTGGAGTGAGCCTGAGGAGGACGCCAGCACTGTGAAACTATGTAGTCACATAACCATTTCACGGCCCTTTTGCATTCCAATGCATCTGAAAGTAGGACAACTATTTGTGTAAAAATGTTGCATGAAATAACATTTTCATGAAACACAAATTCACTAAAACTACAATTTTTACATAAATATCTATGTTCTTTCGCAAATACAATTACATTTACCTGTAGGCTTTCTTGCTGCATGCAATGAATAAAAAGTTTCTATTATTACATATTAAAACTACTTGTATCTAAGAAAAATTAAAATATATATATATACAAATACAATAAATGTCATATACTTAACACTAAAAACTAATTGTAAAGGCGCTAATACAAACAAACACATTACCAGTTTCTGAATAATATACAGGGAGTATGCTAGTTGCAGATCCAGTTGCAGCATTTTAAAAAGAAATTAAAGTTCTAAAAAAGTGTTGTATTTCTTGTTTGAATTTATTGGAGGTTCTTTGAATTCTCCACATAATATTCTCTAGATCCACCCCTAAAGTGTGCAGAAATTATTTTAAGGATCCTTCACATTATTCTCAAAATCATTCATTCAAGAGAAGGCACAGTTGCTCCTCCATACAGACTGTCCCCAAAACAGCCATCTTTACGCCACTACTAGCAATTGATAATTACCAAAAAATAAGAATTTCCACAAAAATTTTACATTATATAATTTAGCCTTCTATATCTTGCTTCACATCACTTGGTTTAATGCAATTTGCAGTCACATTTATTCCTAACCACAATTGTTGGGTGAAGTCAGAAACCATTAACTGCCCAATGATGACATCAATTGTTGGGTGAAGTCAGAAACCATTAACTGCCCAATGATGACATCGTCCACTGATCTTTCATAATTGAAGCCACATACCTATCAGAGAACATTCATCTATGTTTTTACAATATACATTTTAAGATTCCTCATAAAGTATGAAAGACAGACAGATAAAGTATGGAATCTCTAATCTTATCTTTGTTACCACAAATACCAGTAGAAGTGTTGTAAAGTACACTTTTTGGGAAACTTGTAAAACTAGCTTAAAAATTAAAAAGGCAGATTAAATGCAATATTAATAATAAAATAAAAACTAAAAGCTGACAATTAATCACAAATTGCGTATTACTTGACATTTTTTTAATTAAAAAAAGAAATATTCCAATGTGTTCAAGATCACGTAATATTCAATTCAACATCAAATAATAAAAATCATCAGAAACATTCAAAAAGAATGAAAAGAAACCATTCAGTACAAACTGACCTATTTACCAATTTCAAACTTCAGAAATCAGTTGGTACATTCATGGTGCCCATTCACTAAGCAAGTCCCTACAATATATGGTTCATTTATTTTGCATTCAAAATTTATTAAACTAGTGGTGCTGACAAAGCACATACTTTCACACATTGTTTCTAAACGCTCTGCAACATGACACTACTACATGTGTCGCCAAGCAGCTAATTATTTTCCTGCTTCGAGATTTGAACTCAGATCCTCAGAGTTAACGTGCCAGCACTCAAACCACTACGCCACAGATGAGAAGCATGGATCAAACTCAGACAAAGGTATAAAAAGGTAAATGCCCGATTCATGTAAAAAAACTTCAACAATCAAAACTCCCAAAGCCTCCACTTCGTTAAGATCAATCAGGGTATATCAATTTTGAAGAAAAAAAGCTGAACGGATTAGGCTCTAGTGTTAACAACAGAGGGACAATAGGACATACGGACATTTTGCCGTCAATCAATTTTTCAGTATCGAGAACCAACAAAACATGGATTCTGGCTACACCACAAGTTACAGTTTCTTTTCTAAATTTAGCAACAGGATTTATCCACTGTTTTATTGCCAGAACCAAGCAATGAGGTTTATTCTGACGAAATGTCGGCGTTACATAAATTTCTCTTTTTTCGAAGAATTTGTAAGGCAAGAAAATAATAATAATGTCTGAACAATTAGGGATATCTAAGTTGGTCACATGGGCTAGTGTTCATAATGTATTTAAATTTCATGTTGATAAATTCATTAGTTTACTTAAATCGGTTCATACAAATGCATAAAAAATCAACAATTGATTTGACCTGACATCCGTTTTACAAATTGCAAAAGAAAGTTGAAAAAAATGTTTAAAAGTTACAAATTGCAAAGGCACTTATAGAAACATCTGGTTTATTTGTATACATAATTATTGCATTTGTGGGTAGAAATACTTCAAATGATTTTCAATAATGTTTCTTGAATCCCTAATAGTTTTCTACAGCACTTTCATCAAATTTAAATCCGCATGTGGAACTCAACCCATGGCAATCTCTTGGTTTCAAGTGATGAACCCGAACATGCCACTTAACAACCTCGGTCATCCAGGAGGACAAGACTGACATACTTCAATATTACTCAAGACATTTTTTAAAGAGGTAATTTTGTACAACAGACTTTGCCTGAGACAAAAACCTCAATCTTCAATTTTGTACTTATAAATTATTTTTTTTGTAATTTTCGAAAAAAACTTGCAATACCAGAAATGGTACTAGCACCATATTTCTTACCATCCCTCACTACATATGTAAAGAAAATTTAAAGAAAAAATTTGGGGCGGTTTTTGAGAAAATTGTTTCGTAAATTTCAAGCCCAAATTACGCAAAAACTACTAACTTTTACAAAAAAATGAATAAGACCTTTTTAAAAGACCTAATTTTGTACAACAGACTTTGTCTGAGCAAAAAACAATCTATTATCAATTGTGTAGTTCTAAATTATTATTTTTTGCAATTTTCGAAAAATCGGTGATATCACCGAAAATGACACCCGCACCATTCTCTTATCATCTTTCGCACTATTGAACAACAAAATTTAATATACAAATTTGGAGCGTTTTTTTGTTTTGTTTTGTTTTTTGTTGTTGTTTTTTGTTTTTGTTTTGTTTGAAAATGTCCGAGTGACTTTATGTGAAGCACCCGAAATTAAAATATCGGTTTCAAAATCCACGAGGCCGCGACTTCAGCCAGATCGATTGAGGAATATCAATTTTGGAGAAAATTTGCTAAACGGTTTAGCCGCTAGCGTTGACCACAGACGGACGGACAGACCGTTTTACGTCAATCGAATTTTCTATATCAAGAACCCACAAAATATGGATTCTGGCGACACTACGTGTTAAAGTATTTTCCCCCTAAAATTTAGCAACCCCGACAATAATCCTTTTTCTAGCGAAAATTCGTCGTTTTCCGCCGCACGATTACATAACTTTCTTTTCTTACGAAGAATTCGTAAGACGAGAAAGTAAAAAGAAGTCACAGCCTATTGCATTTTCTGTTTAATGGTAACAATTTATTAGCACCATCAAACGAAAGAATTGAGTGAGGTTTTTGGTACGGTATCGCTTTTCTTATTCTCTTTTCTTATTGACTAATTGACTGATTCCAGCTACATGAATCCGTTAGTATAGTGAATGTTGATTATGCCAGTGATTGCGATGATCCTCCACTGCTGGATGGTGAAAATGGGCGACGAACTGCACGTCAGCTTGCCTTCCTTCGCCAGGTATCTCCCCTAGCAGGGCACCACCCCAGCCAGTCTATGCCCTTGATTGGTCTGCCAACACGTGTGGTAGTATAGTGCCAGTGAGTGTAAGGGGAGAGGGTAGGCAAGGAAGAGAAAATTTGCGCGGTCCAGAGCCCATTTCTAAGGGAACTGCTGCAGCATTTGCCTGGTATTGATCATCGAAATTCATTATGATTTTAGATTGATGGAAGTCTCATGATTATCTTAAAGGTTAAAGTTATTTAAGCATTAACCATTCTTTGCAGTCCAGAGACCCGAAAACTGGTGTGCTCACCATTTTCCAAATCTATTTCATTGACTGATTGATGTTCCTGGGTCATTAGTTTTGTAAGCGTAATGAATGTTTTATCCTGGGCGGTGGCGGTCTTCCTACGGCACTGGATGGTGAGATACGGTGCCGACATACACATCGGCTCGCAAGAATTTCCACCTCCGGGTATCTCCCCTGCGGGGCACTGCCTCAGCTGGTACAAGCTCCCATGCTTAGCTGCGAAATACGAACCAGTGTTCACCAGAGGTGAAGTCGGAGGGAGTGGCCGGTGTAAAGTACTCCGCACTGAAGTTGATGGGGCATATGAAGCTAAGGTGAAACGGTTTTGCTACTTCTAGAAAAAGGTACTCATACAACCAGCAGTTAGCGTTCTAGTAGAACAAATGTGTAACATAACAATCGTTTAGCAACAATTCAAAGTTGCAAAAATGGTATCACAGAGCCCCTACAATGACACCGAGCGCACGGACAGAACAATGGGCGAGAGCTTTGTGCATAAATTATGTTGAACGTTAATGGATTAAATTCTCTTACTATGAGGGAAATTTACAAAACGTGAGAGCAGGAAGCTGGAAGACGTTCGCGAGGATTGCACTTTATCTGCCGGGGAAGCGACGCGCGTTTGCACATCACAGATCCCTTTACGTCAAAATGCATTGGTTATAAAATTGCTTTTTCTTGGACACAGGTTTCGACCAAAAAGTTTTTATAACAGTTTTGAGTTCTACGAGTCAAAATACATTATACGTCATTTAGTCATGTAAAGCAGGGGTTTTCGAACTCTTTTCGTCCACCGCTCCCTTGATCTAAACGAAACTTCCCGCGGCTCCCCTGGTAACAATACGTTTCAAGTATAAGGATTAACATACGCCTACTAAAGATTCAACACAAATGAGAAAGAGATATAATAAGCTATTTTAATTAGGTTTTAAAATAACAGATAACACAAGTTATTCAACTTTTAATTTTATGACAAAATTCTTCTAAAAAATAATGGGAAGGATGAACTTGCTTCACAACAATTGTTCATATCTGGATTCAATATTTGAATCTGCGACTCGCACTTCTTTCCGACGTTCAATTTTGATCTCAACCAAATACAGGTTTGACACAGCTTACGTGGGTAGGCGGACTCTTGATCTGCGTGGATAAAAAATTAAATATCCCCGATGTGCACTACGGATGTACGTTGATGATAGAAGCCACAGAAGCTTAATAACAATAACAACAAAAACAATAATAATGCATAATAAGCTGAGTCTCACGAAACACAAGAGAACGAAATACGGGTTTGTATGGCTGGAAGTGGACAATATGAGAATTTATAGTTGCTATTTTTCACTGAATGATGCTCTAGAAAAAATTCAGAAAGATATCGATGAGATGGAGGCTAGCTTGAAAACGTCTAAGCGCGAGGTATTAGTGGCAGGCGGTTTCAACGGTAAGTCGTCCGAATGGGGAGATACGCGCTGCGATAGAAGAGGAACTATCATATGTGAATTCATAGCAAGAAATGATCTTAAATACTGGGGACGAGTACACCTTTCAACGCGGAGCCGCATCATCTATTTTGGATTTGACAATAAGCTCCACCAAGCTAGCTAGCTAAATGCATCGCTGATTGGTCAGTGCTCGACGAAGAAACCCTGAGTGACCATCAGTATATAGGATATTCGGCTCCACTAACGGAGGGACCGCAACATGTCAAAATGCGATATACAGGAAGACCACCTTGGAATTCCAAAAAATTGAATGAAGACAAGGCAAAACGCTCCTTGGAAGAATCCAGGTTGCTGGTTAAGATGGTTTGCACGAAAAAGGCGGAAACGCTTGAGGAAATGATAAAGACAACGGAGGAAATAGTGGTAGCAGCTTCCTATGCATCCATGCCTAGACGTATATGTCCGAGCAGATAACAGCAAATGTATTCGTGGACACCATAAATAGCTGAACTACAAAGGAACTGTATTAAGGCAAGAAGAATAGCAACAATGACCAATACGACCTCAGGGAACAGTATAAAGAACTGTTCAAACGGCTTAAGAGAGAAACAAAAAGAAGTAAAAGCAGATGCTGGAAAGGGGTCTTACGAGTAGAACAGATACATAACGACTCATGGGGCATGGCCTATAAAATAGTAAATAATAAATTCAGGATAGACTGGAAGATACCTGGTTTGAATGATCCACAATGGTTGAAGATATCTATTAGGGATCTCTTTCCCACCTTTCCAGATGACGAGACAAAAACAGAGCGACTTCACGGTTGACGCAGCAGACTACTTCACGATAGACGAACTGAGGAGAGCGGCGAAAAGGATGAAAACTGGGAAGGCCCAGGTTTCGATAGAATTCCCTGTGAAATACTAAAAATAATGGCACAGGAGTATCCGAAATGCCTTTTGTCAATCTATAACCGCTGCCTTGAGGATGGGAAATTCTTCAAGACTTGGAAGAGACAAGAGCTGGTACTCCTCCGAAAGGGCAACAAGCCGGTAGTACAGACCACTGTGCCTCCTTGACACCATGGCCAAGCTGCTTGAGGGTTTAATACGTTCTAGGCTTCAGGGGCTCATATGCTTTTCTCACATGCAATATGGATTCCGGAGAGACCGCTCGACGACGGATGCCATCCTGGAAGTAATCGATAAAGTAGACGCAGCAAGAAGAGAAGTCGGCAAGAAGAGGCGATTCTGCGCGCTATGGCAATTGAAATTAGAAACGCCTTCAACTCCGCTAGGTGGAAGGACATTTTAGAACTGTTAGTTAACAAGATGGTTCCGGAATATCTCATAAGGATTATTGAAGTCTACCTCCATGAAAGAACGATAACTTATGTGGACAGTATCAGGTTAGAAAAGAACGTGAGGTGCGGTGTTCCTCAAGGGTCCAGACTTGGGTCATTTTTATGGAATGTCCTGTACGATGACATTTTAAGCATTGACCTGCACAAAAATAGGAAGTTCATAGGCTATGTTGACGATACGCTAATAATGAGCCACAGCGATGACATTAAACTTCTCGAATTGAGAGTGAACGAAACGCTGTTTAAGGTTAAAAGATGACGACAGCTACAGATGGCAGTGCAAAAAGCCGAAGATGTCTTAATCACCGACCGGAGGGCCTTTCACTACCCAGACCTCCGATTGGGGGAGGGGGGAGGGAGGGAATATACTGGAAGCACCAGATAAGATATTTAGGAGTCGAAATAGACCATAGACTCATCTTCGGGCCCCACATAAATGTGATGGCAGAAAAGGCGGCGAGGACAGGAGCTAACATCGCAAGGATGCTACTGAACGCCGGTGGACCGAGAGAAGCCAAGAGAAGAATGATATCTGGCATAGTTCACTCACAGTTGTTGTATGCTGCTCCAGTCAGGGCGGGTTCGCTGGAGAAGCAGTCTATCAGACACAAGTATGCCCAAGTACAAAGACGAATGGCCTTGAGGGTGGCATGTGCCTACCGCACAGTGTCTACTTACGCAGTGCTGGTGTTGGCCACTACACCACTTAATAGCCATGGAAAGAAAGAGGAAGTGTCTCGCCTTGAATGAAGCACAAGCAAACAGTCATCTCCCTCCCAAGCAAATTGAGTGTGTTAAAGCAGAAGCAAGGAAGTTGCTTCTTGAATAATGGCAAGGAAGATGGGATGGGGATGTGAAAGGCAGATGGACTCATCCATTGATTACTAACATCGAGAGATGGGTTAGCCGAAGATTTGGGGAGGTGAGTTATTACCTGTTCCAGGCTCTTACGGGACATGAAGGAATTAATAAATACCTCTACGATTTCAGGATCGTAGAGAGGCCCACATGTAGTCTCTGTCACGCAGACATAGATGATGCAGAACACACACTATTTCAGTTCAAAGCATGGGACGCGGAACGAGAGATTTGTAATGTCAACCTCCAACAAGATATAAACTCAGACAACATGGTCGACATGATGCTGAGTTTGCAGGAACAATGGAAAACAATAGAGAACTTCATAGTTAGTATTATGAAGATGAAAGAGTTAAGACTGAGGAAGTAGAGCATCTGCTACCAGCCAATCTCCTACGTGAAGTGTCTAACAACGGTTTCCGCGTGGGAGAGGATGCGGATTAAGAGGTTAGGTTTTCAGTCGGTAACCCAGTTGGGAGTCCGACATCACCAGATTCACTGGTATCCATACACGATTTACCTCCTCTACAAAAATAATAATAATAATTTATTGCTTATAGACTTACAGAAAGTATCAAGCAAAGTCTGTCTAGAAATTATTTAAAATTACAATAAGTTAGTTACATTATTTAACCACATTCACTTACAGAAATAATTTAATAAGTTTACACTATCTTGATAAATTATATGTTCAGATATATAAAATTGATTAAAATATTAATTAGAATCCTAATGACCCATATTTCTCAGTGATATAGAGACTATAAAAGTAAAGCAGGTGAGTAATTAAGAGAAACTTTATTTACTTAATACGGATATATTATTTTTAAAATATTAATTTTCATTAATTAATTATAAATAATTTTCAGGAAAAATCCGCTTCAGGACATAGAGTCTAGATATAAGGTTCTCAAGAACATAATACAAAAAGCCAGCTTAAACCAGAAGCTAAATTTCCACACACAAAAAGCTGCCATCAACCAAAATGCTCTTTTTCTTACTGTCAAGTAATTGGCAAAATTTTATTAAGATAACATAAGATGTGTAATTATTGTTAGTATCATTTCTGTTTATCTGATGGTATCATTGTTCTCACATTGAACAAAATAAAAAGCTCTGATTGCATGCAAAATAAAAATCATTGAAGGATCACCTTCATTGCATTTTCTGATGCCACGACTAGATAAAGACTTTAGGTTGCAAGAAAATGTAATACATTAATGCACATAAAATCACTGTCATTATTCATGAGTTCTAAAGAACCAGAAGAGTAAGAAAGATGATTATTGCCAAATTCTTTGCCAGCCAGGAATTTTCACAGACAACAGAAATTTGCAGCACTTAATAACAATGATAAATCAGATGATTTATGTGCCTAAATTTTCAGGACTCAAGAAAGACTAGAAAGTTAACAGTAAATCTGCGAGTAAAGTTAGCAAGAACATGATGCTTTTTACATCATCTCCATCTAGCACAGGGTGGAGTCCCAGCCTTAGTCTCCCCTACAGCCCCTGAGGCTTGGCTACATGAGAATCCTTTAACTTTTTAAACACTCAAGAGAAAATAATTTACCAATAAAATACAAATAAATTTTAACAGCAATTTGTTTCGTACTTATGAAGATTTAAAGAAAGTTACTATCTCACAAAAGTTAAAAACCTGATTTTGCAACTACTTATCATTTAAAGTCAAAGGAAAATTCTACTTGGTCACAATAGGAAGAGAAATATTTTAACCAACCAATAATTAAACAATTTCCTATTTAAGTATCACTCTATGTTAGTTATTTCTCAAAAACAATTTAACACTACCTGCTATTATAACTAAATTAAAACTTACTACATGTTTAATAAAATTACTCGTTTCTTTCTTTCCTCTACAAACAAAATTACCAGATATAGCACACCAAACTAATTTTTATTCCAAAAATGCAATTACAACAAAACAAGCTTCTCATAAAAAAATATTCTTCTACTTTGAGACTACACTATTTCACTGAAATAATTGCTAAACAGTTCTAAAAAAATTAGAGGTGTATAAAGAACTTCTAATTACACTTCATTATTGACTATTATATTTTTCCACATTTCAAAGCAAAATATTCTTACCTGTTTCTTTAATATTTGTTCTAGCTAATCCAGCTAATAGTTCTAAGGCAGCCAAGGATACATTGAGATCTGTCTTCCAAGAAGAAATAAGTCGGTGGCACACTAGATATGTTGCTCGCACAAACAAGGCATGTGCAGAATCTGATACAAAAATGAAAACAATCTTTCAATTCACAGTATTAAGTGCAATGCTATAATAATCTTTGCAATTTCAACCAGCTTGTAACATATTAGTGAGTAACTTATATATACATTTATTTTTAGTAGAATAGTAAATAAATACATAAAAGAACATTAATCTATAGCAGTGACCCATAAATGCTATTAGATTTGAGTTATGAAATTTGAATTCATCCCACAGTTCTACCATAACCAAATTACTCTAACTATCCTTTAAGCATTTCAGTGAAATTAGTCAAAGCTTATGCAATTATGTTCATTAATTTTCACGCTTTCAATAAAGGAGCAAAATAACTCATCCAAGGCAACAAGGCACCAGGTCTATATACTTATTACTTTATGAATTGATTTGTATAATACTTAAAACTAAATACTTATTTTACTGAATTTTTATGATGTCAAACTGATTGATAGTGTTACTAAATACAATGTATTTATAAATTCAAATTTTCTTGGTTTGTTTCGTCTTAAAATATAAATTACATCCTTCCATATTCTCAAAGAATACTTCATCAGGAATATCTCAAAAAAATCAAGCCTTTAAATAGTAACAAAACAAGAAATTATCTTCATTATATTTAAATTTTCTTAAACTGTCATATGTTATGAAATATGTATCATTCCTTTTATTTTCAAACTACAACATTCCAAACAACGACTTTGCAGCATAAAATGAAAAAACAAACTGGCATGTATTTGATGGATTACAATTATTTGGATGAAAGATACAAAATCTAATGTGATTTTGTTATAAACAAATGCATACACACAATATTATATTGATTTCATTTTCTATAAATTTCAATGAGCTCATTTGTTGACGCAAAATATAAGAAAAATGATTTATTATAGAAAATATCAACAGCACACACAGTTTCACATTTACTTTTATTAAGTCCCACTGGATAGTCAAGGTACATGTTACCAAAGGCAGCAGTCACATCAGCATCTTGCATATCAGATGGCTCTTCTCCAAGGCTACGATAGTCGCTGGGCACACTTAGGGAGCTAATTGTGTCAGAAGCTATAAGGTGATTTGCAATGAAAAACAATTAAAACAAACACAACATAAACAAATGTACCAAAATAAGCAACACAAAAACAAGAAAGAACTAATGTCCTAATGGTTTACCTGGAGAGAACCTACTGAAAATCTACAAGCACTAAACAGAGGTACACAAAAAGCAACAACCCATTACATTCAAAGAATAATAAAGCAAATTATTTTTGCTAGATACACAATTAAATGATTGATTTGATTTGGATACATAACTTGTTCTAGCAAAATAAATTTATTCCCGTTATCTTTTTATGCCCAAAGATAAGAAGAAAATCCAAAGAATGCTTAAAATGTAAACCAAGCAAATGATTAAAATGAACAAATTATTGCAAAGGATACTAATTTCATAAATTATTTAAAAAATTAATAACAAATGATTAAAAATAATAACTAATCATGAATAATAATCACATAAATAATTTAAAGTAGCAGAAATAAAATTATGAAATATATTTCTAAAATATTATATGTGCACCAAGCTATACAGAAGATCTCAGAATAAATTTTACAAACTTTTAAGACACGAAGAGGGGTCAAAAAACACGTTATACCAAGGAACATGTAGTGAGAAATTTCATATAATGCAAATTACACACGTGATATTTACTCGATTTTTAGGCAACTTCTTACACACATATATTTAGATCACGTTTTGATACAGTCTACGAGATTTCATTTACCTACCCAACAATGTGTGTTGAGGGGTTGGCTACAATCAACAGAAAATGTCCTGTGTGAAATTGTTACATGCAATTTCTCACTTGGCAAAAAGAGATAATTAACTACCCCTTTAGAAGCCCTAGAAGGCTGTAACATTGAGGCATTATGCACAGACGCATTTTTTTAAAAAATAATAAAATAAAAATTAACAAAATAATAATAATAAAAAGTGTTTTTTGTGAAAATATGGTGCTCAAATATTCTTCTGGGTGCATGTTTGTCTGTTTGTGTGTGTACGTGCGTGCATGTGTTAATGAATGTGTATATGGGTTAGTGTGTGTGTGTGTGTGTGTGTGTGTGTGTGTGTGTGTGTGTGAGAGTGGGTAGGTGTGCATTACCTTATTTGTATGTGCGAATGTGTAAGTGTATGTATGTGCACATGAATTAGTGTACGTGTGTGTGTTTGCGTTAGTTGCACTTGAATTGTTCCAAACATTTTTGTGGTGTATGTACATGTATGGACACAGTCACAGACAAGTGCACATGCGCACATATAGTCATACATATACATACACCCAAATGCACAGGCATCCTGAATTGTAATAAAAATACTTTCTCCAAGTGACATTTTTTGGATTCCACAATATAAGAAGAGAAAGACAATTTTCTTACACAGAAGTCAAACTTAAATATCTTTATGGCTAAAATTTTTAAATTGTATAAGCACATTTCATATTTCAATTAAAATGTTTTCATTTCATAGATGTACAATTCATGTTGTGAAACAACTTTAACTGGTTAACTGAACACAACTTCAAGAAGCGCAAAAGATGGTATCAAAAATGGAATGAAATAACCTCAGAAAAGAATAATGGTAGATTCTGATGACTTATGCTTCAATTAACAGGGACATGCTCCGTGCTAACATTGCATACATGAAGACTGAAAAGCTATACACATTAGCATCACAGGAAAGTAACAGAATCACACAACGGTTTTGTATTTTCAACATGAAATTCAACTTTGCCCATCATACAGTGAAGGAATAATTGCCCCACAATATAAAAAAGGAGAACAAATAAACAAAATAAATATCTAAAGGAACTTAGTTAATGATAACTTCTAGAATTGATGACGATAAAAACAATTTAATAAGACACTATGAATAAGTCAGGATTAAAAAAGTAGGCAGACCCTAATAACAGTTAGCTCCAAAAACTATATTTCTAATAGGATATACCCACTAAGTATCATTGTATTTTTTAACACAATGTTTAAACATATATTACGCCAACGGTGTCAAAAGTTTATTCTAAGAACATCTATATCGCAGAGGACAAGTGTCCAAATAGTTTAATTTTCTTCTAAATATGGATTTTTATTCAGTAATCAGTTTTATTTGAGAACTTACCACTTAGTCACAAATCAGAAAAATTTTGGGAATATTACTTCCAAATGTTTCTATCAACAAATCAAACATTAACAAAGGGGAGCATAAAATAAAAAATAACCTGATATTGAAAAATTATGAACCACAGTTTTGCCCTTAATATTTTTCATTAATAGAAATTAATTTCATAGAAAACAAGGCATCAAACCAAAACAGTTAATGACAGTTTCAGAAGTGAGAGGAAAACTAAAATCGTAATTTTTTCATTAAATATTTTCTAGGAACTGGAACTGAATAAAACAGTTCAACAAGATGTGAGTCTCAATATAAATAGAATCTTAAGTATTGTATTCTTGAGAAAAGATTCAATTTTTTCCTTCTGACAATTTTCAAAATAATCTCCCAAGAATTTATGGAGAAACTGAATAAATCTTAGGCATAAAAATACTTTGGTAATATTTAGTTCAAACAAAAGGAAAAAATCAAAAAAGATATATTGAGTTTTCAAACATATCTATATAATATTTTCTAACATTTTTCAAAATTTTGAGAAAAGATTTCTAATTAGTGAATACATTAGTTTTTCATAAACACCTGAGTAAGTAAGCTGCGACAAATAGTTCTTTAAATTAATTTTATTCACAAGTAAATTATTTGTAATGCCTAGAATAAAAGAAGTGATCAGACAATTTTTTAAATACAACATGATGGTGGTGATTATCATAGAAGAACAATAATAATAACGGGTTATTATAATTTAATAATTTTAAATTATCAATGCCTTTGCTCTAATAAACACTGAATAAAAACACGCTATATCAAAGCTCTACAGTATTGACATTAATATTAGTAAATAAAAAGATACAAACACTGTTTGGAACCATTTCAAACTGATACTCAAATGCTTTGTTATTAAAATATGAAACTAAAACCTAAACCATTATATTTCTATTAAACAAAATCACAAACAGAACGGTATTTCAACTGGTTTGATGCCTTGATAGAAATTAAACAAATTTTACCACAAAGAAAACAGGACAAACACACAATACAAAAACATTATCTAAAGGAACATTGCAGATAAGCTACAGTTAATCCAGGATATACAATTCCAACATAAAGGAATAAGGTATTACAGAAAGAATACCAAGAAGAAGTCAACTGATTTGCAAACTGGGTACAAATTGTGAAACCCCTTCTGATTAAGTGTGTTTACACTATTTGCTGACTACATGCACCTAACATTTAAATATGTAGTTTATTCCATTTAGAAATCCTCAACACAATTCACTTTCTCCTCTTAATTGTTTTCAATGAAACTCTTTTCAGACAATACACATCATATAAGTACAAAGATAACTTACCTATTCAAAATTTCAAAATGTAAAATTTAAAAAAAAGTAAAATTAGGAGTTTGACTACATTAAAAAAAACAATAATACTGATTCAACAATGGTTTTGTTAAATACAGTTCCAGCTGATTTTTATTTATTACAATCTGTCAATTTCAAAATGAAGTCAACAATATTCCAACACCTACAATTTTATAATATTAAAAACTAAGTTTTTATGTTTATTACAGTAGTCCTCAAAGTGGTTATTAAAAAATATCATCTGGGAAACAAATTGGATCAACAAGTGACTTATTTACTTTGGGCAAATTCTTTTTGTGAATTCAGAGATGGCAACAATGTACTTTTCCTCATTAAGCTGTGATTGTTAGCCAGTGAAGTAGAAGTTTTCTGTAATGCAAGAAGTAAATTTGGTACATTCATGAACATGAACTGAAATTGTAAGCTAGTTCTGGGCGTTCTTAAGCCGCAAATTGAACTGGAAGATAACCCTGTGTTTTCTTTAGTAGTCAATTGAATTCTACAAGTGAAGTACAGCATTATGTAGTGTATTATATGGAGAAACACGTCTCAAAAATGTGAAAATGATGAGAACAATTTGTCTTACATTTGTGGTGAGAAAACAGATAAACTCTGACTTCTTGAGTTAAAATCAATTATAAATATTATTCTGACAATAAAATAGTCGGAAATACGTTCCGGGCCCTAGAAATGTGTTAAATGTGTGGCACTACTAAGTGGCTACTTAAAAGGATCCTGTAACACCTCTTCCAGTTCCTATGATATGGTGAGAACATAAGGACTACTACTTCTGCTTGACAAACAAACCTTGAATAAGTTCAAAGTCATAAAATACTGTAAAATATCCATCTTAAAAATTAACAATTTCAGAATTGCCTTCTGGACTAGATCCTCCTCTATTAGATTACTCAACATTACCTACATTATATCGCTAAAACGTGAATGAACCTCAGTTTTTAACACAGGAGAATCTAAATGATATGGTTTGCAAGATCAGCTTATCTATGAAAGCAAAATTGCTTGCCTCAAGATTGAAAGGTGAAAATTTTCTGTACGATGGTACCAAAGTTTTTTCTGTCAATGCCGAAAGGAATTTGAGCAAGTGTTTCTTAAAACAGGAGGGCCTAGTTTTCTGCAATAATGTTCATTCTTTCATGGGGTCACTAGGTATTAAATATAAACCTGAAGATATTTTCAAGAAGTATTCATGAACTCATAAAAAAAAAAATAAAAAAAAAAAAAAAAAAAAAAAAAAAAAATTGTTGAAAGAATTCTTGCTACATATAATGAAAATACATTTACATCCACTCCCACAGGTCACACAGTTCATAAGAAGGAAAGTTCCATTAACGTGCAGATGTTGCTACCTGGTAAGATGAGTATTCATTACAAATATGAGCAAATTTTAAAGAGATAGCTATTTTACTTGGATTACAACTTCAGTATGCAAAATGTTGCTGCTTCTTGAATATGTGGGATAGCAGAATGAAATTAAAAATCATTATATAAAAAAGATCTAGCAAAGAGAAAGTCATTAAATTCAGGGCAGGCAAACGTTCAACAACTTGCTAGTGTTGAAAACAATGTATTGCCTCCACAAATTAGTTCTTATTACAAATTTTGTGGAAGCACTGGATTGTGATAAGAGTATATTTCTCTTCCAGGAAAGTAAGTTCTGAAAAATCAGTGAAGCAAAATTAAAAGAGGCCTTCAACCACTAATGAAAGATGCAGTGATTGAAAGTCAGTTAAATAAGTAAGAAGCAGCTGAATGGTTTCCTTTCAAAAATATTGTCACACTTTCTAGGAAACCACAGATCTGAGCACTAGAGAACGTTTTATGGATTCGTAGGCTTCCGCGGCCAGAGTCAATGCATTCTTGGCTATCCGGGATGAGCCGCGTCCCGGTCAATTGTGCTGACGTTTTGGCCAGATTGCTGTGGCCTTCTTCAGAGCTATACTGCTGATAGCTCTGAAGCAGCAGTAGAGCTCTTAAGAAGGCCACAGCAAGATGTCCGAAACGTCAGCACAATTGACCTAGACGCGGCTCATCCCGGATAGCCAAGAATGCAACCTATTAGGAGGTTGATTGAGAATTATATGGTCATAGGACGTAATGTCTTTAATAATATTTATGTTAAACTTCCATTTGATTTCTTTTCTAAAAACCTCAGAGCTGTCAGCAATGAACACATTGATTATTTCCATCAGGACATTGTTGAAATAGAGAAGTGCTACCAGAGTAAATATATTCCAAATACATCGGTAGAAAACTATTGGTCTCTCAAAGAGATGTTTCTCGAGCTAAGTACAGACAAAAATCTATTTCACTTTCATTTTAAGGAAGAGAAATAATTCCAAAATTATTATCCCACATAATTCTATCAAGGGTGTGATAGATACTCTCATTTTGAAATAGAACCAGCACATAAACCAGATAACCAAGAAAGAATAACATTCTCTTCTTGAGGAGAAAGGCTTTCAAACACACCAATTGCCATTCTTTTAAATCCACTTAATAAATCAAAACAATTACAGAAAGACAAATTATTTTTTTAAGAAATTAAAAAGCAGAGCTGGGACATGAACAAAACATTCAGCTTTCAAGTTGTGCTCACTACCAATTGTCATCACCAGTCTATTAGGTAAGTTACGTCATTTGAGTGGCCAGACTTGTGTACAAATTATCAATGCTTTTAGCTCTAATTTTTGTGGCTATTGTCTTATATTATTCTATTGCCTCAAAAATACATCCAGATGAACCCAGTACGAAGGTTCAAGAGCAGTTTTACTTAATTATTCTGTGTTTCCCAACATTGAATGTCTCCTTGCAAATGAAACTAAACACCATGTCTAAGTTATAGCTGATGGCTTTTACAAACAGCACATAAAATTGAAATACAATATGCTGAACTGTGACAACAGAAACTCTACAGTGCTCAGAATGATATCAGGATTGCCCTTATAATGAAATAAACTCAACTCAATGTGTATCTAAAACATACCAGCAACATCCTCTGCTGTATAAATTAAATTTATCACTCCCAAAGTGAAACAAATTGTAAGAATAAAGAAAAATACTTTAGTTTAACAATTTGGTCACCTCTGTGAATGGGAGGAAGCCATCTAAAGACAACATGAATCGTTATCTGTAATTGCAGTGAGTCATTTATATTCTTATATGATCGTCTGATCTTCCAGTGGTACAAAAGAATCTCCGACAGGGTGGATCCAGCTGACTACCTGTTGCAGTCATTTAACCCAAGGCATTCACCATAAACACTGTAAACTTTCTATTGTATCCCCCCACCCAAACTCCACGAAAAGGGGTTGACAGTATCAACAAAAATAAAGCTTCATAAATTAAATACAAAAACAACAACCACCTTGAAATATAAATAAGAACATTAATGAAAATATCTCCTTTTTTAAAAATTGGATTTTAATCTCAGGAAAAAAAATCATCAGTCGATAAAACCATAGCAAATATTAATGATCTGCGAGTTCTTATACATACCAACTGGAATAAAGTCATAGGGTTTATATTTTCCTTGGGACTCATTAATAATTCAAAGATATTGTAGGAATGATGATACGTCTTTGATAACAGATGATACTGAAGTATATGTGATATTCATAAAAATTGTTTCATGTTGCAAATTTTCAAAGGTTTCACTGAAGTATACATTCTAAATCAACTATTTACTCATTTCAAAATTCTTTGTAAAACTGTTTTCCAACGAAGCAAAAGTATTGAATTCATTTTGGAAGTAAAAATATGCCTTTATCATTGGAAACAAAATTTTCAGAAAAATGTTTAGCCAATATTTATTATTAATACATTCAAGTCACTGCTCAGAACAGTTCCAAGCAGTGAATTTACCCCGGAGTAGATGATCAGCATTGTTCCAAGTGCAAGTTTCACTTTGTAATTCTGCTTTATTGGGGCAGTTTTTTCACATACAGTCTACTTAGAAGGCACTGCTCTTATATTATACATTTTGCATATTGTTTGCTAGGTGCGCCATCCTGTACAATTTAATAGTTATGATAGCAAAATTCAAGAGCAGCATGGTGAGTACATTGATGCTTATTTTGCTAGAAATAGTATCAGTGACTCCCAAATTGATTGAGAGCACACCAGATGAAATACAACTTTGAAGAATCAAATACGATATTATTACTGTAATTAAAAAGCACAGTGAAGGGCATTTTTTAACTTCTTTTGATTTGTAACTGTTAAAACTGCCTGTTAAACATACAATTTTTTAAAAGTAAAATCACAAGTTTTGAATTCTATATTTTTATAAAAAATCACTTACATAAACAATTTTCTTATGATTTTAAAGCTGAAGTTTGGTTCTTAATGCATATTCCAAATAATTTCCCCAAACCGCAACATTGAATAAATATAAATGAAAAGTTTTGAACATTTTATGACCTCTGAGACAAGAAAGCACAAGGACAGTTACAACAAGAATGTGTTAAAAAAACAATTACATACTCAAGTTATATTACTTCATTAAACACTTTTCCACATTTAATCATAAGTGTTTTTCTTCTGTATGTTAACATGTTGAGTTAATTAGCCCTTTGAATGGGGATAAGTTTATATAGAGGCACGAAAATTATTATAAATTCTGGGACGCAGACTGAAGAAATCTTAATAGAAAGGGGACTTAATCAAGGATGTAAGGTTATATCCAACTCTCTTTAATATTTATGTAATGACCTAATTGACAAATGAAAATGTGTTAGTCCTGGAATATAGTTGAAGAATAACAAACAGCTACATGTTATTCTTTACGCTAATGATGTAACAATATTGCAAGAACATGTAGAAGAATTACAAAGAATTCAGTATAAACTTTGTGAAAATGAGTATTATCTCCAAATACCTAAAAAGAAGGCTAAAGTTATGGTCCATTGTAGTAAATACCACGTTCGCTCAAAAATAGTAATTGACGACACAGTGATTGATCAAATTTCCTATTTTAAGTATCTTGGTTGTAATATCAGTTATGACTTGGACAATGGCTTCAAATATACAGTGAATCACAAAACTATTCAGACATGGGAAATTTAGCGAATAATGGATAATGAAAAAAAGAGATGAAAGCTAAATTCAAGCAGCAGAAATGAGATTTCTCAGGAAAGTTATAGGCTGCTTCAAACACCACAAAAAAGATATCTGAAAAGAAATATATAAGAATTCAGAGAATTATGGAAGCACCATGTAGAAAGAATGGATGAAGGAAGAATTCCACAACTAGTGATGAAGTATCATCTGAAAGAACAAAGAAATGTCAAAAGACACAAAAAGAGATGGTCTTGACATGCAAGTGAACACACCTAATCCTTGAAACGAGGACGGAATGGGGATGCCATCTCAAGATTCCACACATCTGTCTCTAAATACCAAGAGACTTTCCTCTACAGCAGTGATACAGTTTGAAGAAATGGGGCTTGCAAAGCTGATGCACACAGATCCTTTCAATACCCTCAATTTGGAATGCTATTGCACAGAACCTAGGCTCCAGCTTGAAGGGTTAAATATTTATGCTACAGCAACATGATTTGATGAAGCTTTTGTAGCAATAAAGGCAGTTCAGAGCTACAAGTCTGTATTAGTAGTAGATGCACTGTAATCCATTAAAAGAAAACCTGTTGTTAATCTACAGAAGTTTACAGTTATTAGTTTGAACTAATTTGTAAAACTTGCTTGGAAGAAGAGTAAATTGTAATAATGAAAGTATTACTGCCACTGTATTGTTACAAAAAGCTACATCGCCAGAAGTAGGAAAGCAAGAATCTGACAATGTATCAATGAAATAAGCCATAGTTATTCAATATCAAATACATACTTACCTGAAGATAACAAATTTGATGTTGTGTCACTGCTTGGACCAACATCAAGTTGCGTTATTTGGTCCATTTCTTCTGCAGCAGCAGAGTCTTGGACACTCAGAAGAAGACCACCTAAACATGCATGTTCCTTATTTTATTTATTTATTTATTTATTACACGTGCATAACAATTTAATAATGCAAATAAGTTTATTTTAACTTATTACATTTCTTCGCATAGTTTTAGGTGTCTGTAAACCTGCTCACCAACTAAAAATATGTAATATATAATGCACAATTAATATCTTTCTACAAAAACAATATTAAAAAGAAACAAAAAAATTGAATAGCGGGAAAATAGTAAAATCACATTAACAGAGAGAAAAAAATGAAAAATTTGGGCAAGTCAAAAATCAACTTGCATTAGAAAGGCAGCATTAAAAAGGTTTGATAATATCATTGTTCCGATGGATAAAACAATCCAATGTTTGATAACTGATTTTTTAAACCTTCAGGGGTTCAAATAAATGGTGATTTGGGGCCCTTGAGACTTCAATTACAGACCTTAATTTAAAATTACAATTTTGCAATTTTTGTAATATATATGTTAGTCTCTCATAATTTTACTATACGGTTAATACATGAATATCAACATACAAGTGTTAATATTGGCACTGCAAAATGAACCAGTACTTTTTTGAACCTTTTTGGTCTCAAACCCATTCAGGATGGTAGAATATCGACTGGCCATTACTGTATCTGAACACTACTGGTCATTTTTAGGCAAAGGATTATTTACAAAATATATGTTTATGGAGTTTCATGCAACAAATTTAGTACTGTAGCCCAAGAATTTTCAGAAAACTACAAAAATGTTAATTACGTAGGCTTCAAATATGTTCTTAATGTTTCCACTACCAATGCCCAATACTATCCTTGAGGCAAACGAAATTACAACATTGTACACTTTATATTTTATTTTGTTAAAAAAGTGATTGTTTTTGATTCTATTGATCATTCAATTCTAGTTAAAAAACTGTCTTGTTTCGGTGTGCAAGGTGGTTTATTGAACTGTTTACCAGACTACAGCTTATCAAATATAATTCAATTTGTTACATTTAAAAAAACAAATAATTTAAAAATATTGATTTAATTAAATAGGCATTTTTGTCTAATTAGGTGTACTGCAAGGTTCCCATATAACTCTTATTATATACAAGATTTTCATCAATGAGGTGTCAAAGTTCGATAAGTTTGGAAGACAAATAAAAGGGATAAAGAAATATAAATATTGTAATGGCAGTGTTTTTCATGAACAATTAACTGCTTAAATTGTGACACGACTTGTCATACAAGCTGCAGCTAGAGAGTGAACAAGAACGAAATTAATCGATTTGGTAAGATTTTAATTACAGTTTATGATGTGAGAGTGATATTGAATCTTAAGGTAGAAGAGGGTTTCAAAATTCCTAAGAATGGTGACGTTTCACATTCTGAGGTCGGATACACTAGCAGTACGGTCCGACCAAGAAGGGTGTACTTCTGAAAATGATGTTGGACAGGACTTAAAATAATTAGAAGTCCAATTGGTGAAACCCACAAGAGATTCTAAGGATCAAGGAGTGATAAAAGAAATCAAAGAATACCAGAAAATGTGGTAAAGATAATGAAGAAACAGAAAAAATTGGAGGATGTTGCTGCTAAAGTCAATTCTTTGCAAGCAGAGATAAAAGAAATGAAGAAGAGCTGGTTGGGATAAATTAGTTACTCTGCTATGAAGGTATCTTATGAGAGTTTGTGGACAGACAAAAACAGATAGAAAATATTATTTATGTTCAAAATTCAGGAAAGAGAAGAAAATGTGACTGCCAAACACACAAATGGTGTTAACAAAGTAATAATAATGAATAGAATGAGCACAGATTCAGGCATAGACAGAATTACAGTTGCCAATCTGTGTTGGAAGATGGAAGAATCAAGACAAAGAAGAACAAACTCCAGCTATCCTGAATCTTGGCATGGGAAATGAAAATATAATCACACCACCAATCTTAGACTTGCAATTTGACTTTCAAACTACTCTGTGATCATGACAGAACACAGTTTTGAGAACCCATTTTTTTTTTAAGTCTGTTAGTTTTTTTTATTATAAATCAGCTTGTAAGTAGTGAGTACTTGGTGATTGACCTAAATATCTGTGTTCCCAAACCTGTGTTCTTGTCATGATCACAAAGTAGTTCTTTTGCCCAAGACATAAGATTGATGGTGTGATTATGTCATCATTTCCCTCGCCATGATTCAGGATAGCTGGAGTTTGTCTGTCTTTATCTTGGTTCTTCCATCTTCCAACACATATTGGTATTAGTAAACATTCTCAAAAGCTCCTGATTAACATCTGTTAACAGGAGCTATAGAGAATAACAGGGGAATTGATAACCATTGTAACAATCTCATGGATAAATTGATGTAAATTCTGCAAGCAACTTTGTCAAAAATGTAAACCTGGACCAAAACTAGATAAACCATGGAGTAAACACAATGACTAGAAGAATATGTATAGATAGATTAAACATAGGTCTGGAAACAACCATGACCACAAAAAGTATTGGCCAATTATTTGACCACATAAACAAGAAGAAAAAACTGTAAAAAAACATAACAGATCAAGGCGCCAAGCATTGACTTGTTATTCCTATACAAAATCTGTCATAACAAAATTGATTGACATATCTTGTTATAGCTATTAACATACCTAGGAATGTTACTGCAGAGGCCAGAAGTTAAAAATCGAGGCAGAGTGTGGCAGATCTGAGATTTTTAATTTGGATGAGGCAGTAACACACATTTTGTGGTATGTTCAACATTTTATAAGCCATCGTAACATGACACCTGTTACATGAAAATTTACTACATTATAGTGATAGTAAACAAATGAATTTAACTGCTGCGGCACATTAGTATGATATTCTGAGGTGTTGCTTGCGCTAATATAATTAAACTATTTGTATACTGTGGTTTGCGAAAAATGAATGTGAATAATTCTAGGCTGCCAGGGAAAACGAGTGTAAGTTGAAAAATGGTCAAAATGAGTTAAGTCCACAGTCTGGTTTCTGGACGTGCGTTCAATCTTTTCATACTCTGAATATAAAGCTCTTCTGGATAATTTTGAGTTCAAAATATTATTGTTAACAAAGGGCAAAAAAATCTTCTATTGTTTGTTCCAAGAATATCAATAAAAGGTCTCTCTCAAAATGTCATTTTTGACTTACACTCTTTTTTCCTAGCTGCCTAGAATTATTCTGTACCAAGAGAAATTTTAAATGCAGCTGCAAAAGCCACATGAGATTTGATGCCAGAAAAATCAAAAGCACGATATAAACAGGCATATCAGGAATTTAAAGCATGGCAAATACAAAATCACGTAGACATGATTACTGAATATGAAATGCTTCCATATTTTTAAAAACTTGGTAAGCTAATTTACACTTATTCCTTTTATAAAGACAAACTTTTTTTTCAGATTTTGTTTTACTAAGTCACTGGCACATAAGGCAGCCTCATTAAGGGTTTATCTCAATTTAATATACAAGAAGAATCCCTTAAAATTAGATAATATTAGGATTAAAAAGTAAATACCACAACAAAAGTAAAAAAAGAAAAAAAATTACAAATAATGCACAATATAATATTAGAGAAGGTAGAAGGAAAAAGAAAGTATTACAAAGAGATCAATAAAAATAATATAAGTAAATGAAATACATATTCATCAATCAATAAAATATATAACAAAGTAAATCGCTGACAATAAAAAATGTTTAAAGAATATATAATGCAAGTAAGTTGCAAGTTAAATACATAAGATTCTTTTAAGATTCGCAATAAATTATCCTAACGTCCATTGAAAAATTCAAGGAGTTATTCAAATTATTGGTTTCTTGTGCTAGTCTATTAAAAGCATCATTAAATAGAATATTGATTTTACTAAGTACTGAAAAAAGTTTATAGTTTCTCATTCCATGGGAATCTATACACTCTATTTCTCTCATTCTATTTCTCACTCTCACAAAATATCAGGGCATTGAATTGAGCAAGTAATTAAGGCCTGCAGGAAGACCATGTCAAAGTACAATCTCCTGTCAGATAATCTTGGTAGGTTCATTGAAGCCCACAAATCATAGTCAGCATGATCCACTCTCAGAAGACTGCTTCAAAACTAGGGGATCATCTTATATTCAGTCATCTAATAGTCGGGAAATAAGGTAATCGAAAGCAACGATGTGTAAGGCTCAAGACTTGCACACAGAACTTGAAAATGCAAATGTTGGGCTCTTATTGTCTTAAAAGGCGAAATTTATAACCAACAGGTCATTGTAAAAAGAAAAAATGTAACTAGAAAACATCGGTAATCATAGGTCTAACACACTCATGGAAACAAGCATTATAATAATTAGAATACGTTACCTAGAAGCATTTGTGCATTTTGAGGATCTCCTTCAACTTGTAAAGCATTAATAAGAAGATTCATAAGTCTTGGTTTTAACTGTGCAAATGTCAAAGGATTTTTTTCTGATCCCAGGCTTGATGAGGACACACCAGTGTTGCCTAATTCTTTGATAGGGAGATTCTGTAGACATAAACAAAAAAATATTAATGGTTTGTAGCTAGAAAGATAATTCAACTGACAATATACAAATAAATTCATTTATTAAACATTTGAGAATTCTTGTACAAAACACTCCATAAGAATATGCATATGAAAACAAGTGATACCCATTTTATGACTGAAACAAATACTAAACAAGCAACATCCTCAAAATGTTTCCATGAGCTGTTTACATTTGATTCAATTCAATTCAAAATTATTTAAAAACGTGCAAGGCAGTATTTTGGTTATTGCACTTGTGTTGCTTTACATCTATCAATTGTCACAAAATGTTCGCCAACTTTATAGCTTAACAAGCAAAACAAAATTATTCAATAACCGGATTATTTAATAGCATTTTATTTTGTAAGTGGCTAAAATAAAATATTATGCAAGTCAGTTAATTATTAACAAGCATGTTAGTATGAGTGTATAATTACAAACGAGCACATAATGGTCTTTCAGTACATGTAATGTACAATATTTTATCTTATCTATTTTATCTTAACCAATCGCCTTTGTAAAATTTTCAGCTTATTCTCTTCTACAAGTTAGCATAATGATGAATGGTATTATATTGATTTTGGCACTATATTGGAGGCCTTGAAGGGTATATTTGAGATGACAATACTGTCTTGTGTGAAAATGGAAGATATTCCTGAAAGTATTAAAAGTGAAGCTGCAAACTGTTAATACTTCCAGGAATACTTTCAACAGTATATATAGCGTAAAAAATACAAAATTTTCAAGGAGTGGAGGAGACAAAGAAATATTAAGAACATATGTGGCAGTGGCGATGGTGTAACGGTTAGCGTACTGGACTGTTGTACCCAAGTTGGCGGGTTCAAACCCGATCGAAGCCGTGGATTTTTAAGGGCGAAAAAATCCTTCGTACGCCTTCCTTCGGAGGGGAAGTAAAGCCGGCTGTCCCATGTTCGTAGATTTACTTGCATGTAAAAGATCCTCAAGCCTAAATGACGCCTCTGAGCTAAATTCAAATCGCCTGTTTCTCGCCCAAGAAATACCTCCTTTCTCTCCTAGTTGGTGAAAGGAGCGTAGCGAAATTTGCGAGGTCAGACGGAAGAGCGGGCCTGATGGCCCGAGTCTCGCCACGTAAAATAAGGCAAATTCAATTCAATTCAATTCAATGTGAGGAAGATATGTTAGCTTATTTTGCAGCGAAAGTAAGAATCAATACTTAATCCAAGTTTGTAGGGAAGTATTCAAAGTGCGTATTTTATTTTATTTGATGATTATTATGAGTAAATGTGTTATTTTCATTAATAAATCATTAAGAATAAGTGTGTTTCTATGTTTATTCTTTCATTTCTCAATAAAATCATATTTTTGTGAGCATCGTATTGTTCAGTTCACCGGCAGCAGTTTTGCTGTTATTTGTTGTTTGATAGCTACTTTACAAGAGGGCTGCAATAACAAGCCATTTCAGAGACTCCAGACATGTAAATGAACAGCCAACAAAGACGAATGGATACAATAAAAATATTTTATCTCAAATATTCATGTTAAAATACCTTTTATTTCTTATTTCCTTCATATAAAAACCCATCAAAATCTAATTGTAACATTAAATTAAATACCATTTCACAGCCTTCCATATTTTCCAAATGAATTATTAACTGTTTTAAAAGTCTACAAGAAACAAGAAACATATCAACATACCAAAACTAAAAAAATACCAGATATTAAGCAATCAAGAACAACTCACCTGAAAATGAAGGGGAAGAACCAACATAGACAATAGTAAGTGAATAGATGCTCGACGTAACTCTGTTTTAGAACCAGAAGGTGTTCTGAAAAATAATTTTAAAACAAAGGATCAAATTTTTTGAAAAGTTATTAAGATTTAAACCTTCTGATCAATGACATCCTCAAAACAAGGTAAACATAAAAATAGCGTAATCCTTTGTTGTTGTTTTTTGGCAATATATTATTTGATGTTATAATGTATTATATTATATTATAATCAGTCAAGGGACTTCTTGTTTTCATGGGATCATAGACGCAATTCAAACAATGCAAGTTGCAAAAGGCCAATGTTGACAACTGCACATGCAGAGGTGAACATTCTGCTAAGACACACCAATTCTTGAACACCGAAAACAGAAAGGTAGCAGGAATGTTTAATTGTTGTAAATAATGGTGTGCTGCAATGTTTAGTGTGTCAGAAGAACTGTCAACCTAGAGAATATATAATTTGAAGTAGCATTATCAGCAAAGTAGCAAATTAGGATAATCAACAGACAACAAGAGACAAATAGATCTCTTGGTTGAAAAATAACACAGCAGGAGATGAGGGCAATCTTGAAGTACATGAAAGGAAAGCTGCAATATGTGCTAGGTATCATATATGTGATTGTGAGAGATGGAGGCTCATTCTGAGGTGTGTTTATTAAGAAGTGAATGATTAAGGCGATATTGCAACCTACACTTCAACACACACAAATACTTAAGGCTGTCAGTTTATTTAGGTGAACTATCATCCATCGCATACAAGAAATGGCTATAAACACAGAGCAACAATTGAAAGAAAATTGTTCAAATGCACAGCATATTCTATTGCTTTAGATGACATAATTGACTTTGTCCACTGCTATGATTCGCTGTGTTTGTTCGAAATGTGGACTCAATTAAATTGTAACAAAAGGAAAAAACCTCTTAACATTTTATCTAAACCTTACAGAAATAGGACAGGCGTGTGAACATTGATTTCAGCATGAACAAACAGCATATTTATTACACAGAGAAAAGATTTCAAGGCGAAACGACAAAACAAACCTGTAATTTTACGTATAGTTACAGCATTACTAGTCACTTCTATAAAGCATTACAAGAAAATAATATATAAATCCCATTAAATCCGAGCAGGTTAAATTTCATACATTAAATTTGAGAGGTTTGATACAACACTGTGAAAATTAACAAGCTACAAGACTCCTGGTGAGAGGCTCTGAGCCATCAAGGCAAATTTAATATGAGATATTCATACACCATATGAAGCACTTGAACTTGTGCAACACTTCAGGTCCATGAATATCTGGAGAACTCCCTACAATCCTCAAAAAGACACAAAATGGGCTCTATGGATTCTAGAGAGAAAATAAATTAAAAAGAAATTATTATGAAGTTTATGGTGCTAGGGATACAAGAAGTAATGATTCAAATCACACTGAGGAGAAAAATTGCAACAGTTTTAGTTACCAGTTTCTAAGAAGTTAAGTGTAATACTATTACTGCTCTGTTTTCACTAAATTCAGGTGATTGACAAAGCAGATATTTTACAAGAAAAAAAACTTGCTGTGTGAAGTCTTACACGAGAACATCGGGAACAGTTTTTCAAAAGTTTAATACAAAGCATAGCACTACAACCGACTGAAACCTAGATTGGAAGGTAAACAGAAATTAATGATTTATTGGCTTCAGTATCATGGGTGTGGTATAACATAGAAGGAATTACAAGGAAGAAGAAAATGAAGTGTTGAATAGATAGATGGAGAACCATCGTAGAAAGAAAAATGAATAAGGATCAAGCTAGGTCACTGCAGCAACAATCATACCTCTTCAGGGTTGCCATGGGTAGTGTAATACTAGGTATGACGCAAAGAGGAAGGAGGATGCAATAGTTGATTCCAAGCATTAATTAAATTCACAAAGGATTAATGGAATGTATTGGAGTACAAAAGGCTGGCAGATGGCCTAATAGAATGAAAGCTACACATGTGAAAAAATGGATAATTACATATCAATAGTTTATAATTAACATCTTATGCAAATTTACATTTGGTTACTCACTTCATTTTCAGTTCCTTGTCTGGAAGAACAATTTCCAGCGCTTCTATAACATATGGGACAAGGACTTGAACACCATCTAGATCAAGACGGAATAAGTCTGCAGAATTGAGAAGAATGCTAGCAAGTGTTTCACCACATTCCCTAGTCTACAGACAAAAATATAAAATTAAAGTTTGACAATAGTAAGTGAATTGGAAATTCTCATAATAGTTTCTTGTCCTCCCATTATAATTAAAACAATCTTACCTCAGGAATTTTAAGTCCTTGTTGCATTGCAAGATAAAATCTAGCAAGATAAACAGGGAGAATATCCTCTCCAGTTTTTTTAGCACAAAATATTCTACACAGGGCACCTAGAGCTTCTGCTCGTCCTGCTTCATACTTGTCAATAGTGAGAGCAGGAGGAATATCAGGATCATCTGTCAGAGAGCCAGGTTGTGACAGAGATAAACTTCCTTTACGACTGTCGAGAAGTAGTGAACTGGGTCTTTTATTCATATTGGCCTCACTTTCTGAAATTTTAAATCTTCGTAATACTCAAAATAAAAGTTTTGTTTTTATCTATTACTGTTACAAGTTAAAGTTGTAACATAAATTACCAGACATAACAAGTATACAACAGTTTATTCTCAGAAGTTTGATGATTTTTATGTGAACATCTGTTAATAATCCAGGCATAAACAATTAAGAAAAGATAAATTTACAGAAATATAACTCTTTGTTCACATAGAAGTATATAATTAAGAAACTTGAAACCAAAATTAATAATAGTGAATAACAATGAAATAAAATAATAAAAGAAGAGAAAGTTACCAACAAAATGCAATAGCACAAGACAGTATGAAGCTAATCATTTTCAAACAAAATATTTCAGCAAACCTCTAAAAAAGTATAACATACGTGATGCACCCACAACAACAATTAAATGATTAAAGAGATAGGTTATAATATTTAAATCTTAGGGCCTGCAGTTAAATGATTCACATCTGAAAAGATCATGGGCATGAAAATACATTCAATTAAAATAATAAAAATTCTTTAGCAATTCATGAAATGGGACAAGAAATTTCTACAAAAAAACCCTTGACAGCACAAACTCACTTAAAGCGAATTTTGCTTCAACATGAACAAAACGTCGGTCCCAGCAAGGGATTACGGTAATACGGACATTTATAATACTTGGATCACACTAATTTTTATAACACGAACCCTGATTATTTGGGTTCCTTGGAATTTCTGTTAATGAGGGCTTACTGTATAATTTTTCTTAATTTCTAATAATAGCCCAATTATATTGTCTGCATGAAGTCATAATTCATCTCTTCATATAAAGAAATGTTTAACTCACAAGTCACACTTTTTTCTATTTATTTTGTGATTTTAATTATCAAACTGTGTAACATAAAAAATGTAAACCGTATAACATAAAAAAAGTTAATAGATATTATTTAAATTACAAAGGTTGTTGGAATTTATCACATATTATATTCTGTTAACTTGAATCCAACGTATCTTACTAGTAACACATTTGTTCTTAAAAGAACTATTTTATTCTTCCCTAAACTGAAATTAAGATGATATTCTTTTGCTAACTCAGTTCATTCAATCGGCCAATTTCTCTGCCATCCCAATTAGTAAAAAGTGTGCATTTAATTTAAAATTAATAAAAGACAGCTTTTATGTGTTAATTACAACAAAGAGAAGAATCTAAAACGCTCACCACATCTATTTTCTCCATTATTACATGTTCCTACATAGTACATCAGTTTCCTGAGTCTTGGTCCAATTTCATTCAGTTTTAACAATTGTCTACTGCCCAGTTTTAAAGTTAGTCAGAAATGTTCTGTGATTCACATGTCTTTCAGTGCAGCAGCATTGTCTTTAATTCATGTTGCTTCCAAAACTTCAGAATACTTGATGCCAGGTAATACAGAGGGATCATAGAGTATTCGGGTATTTTCAGTCCATTATAAAAAACCTATAGCCAGAAAAATGTGGTCTATTGTGTGTCTATCATCTTCATTCATTGTGTTATGCTGTGTTACCTACCATGCATTTCCTTGAATTTGATGAACCTGTGACTAGTGTTGTTGTTTGTTTTATTAATTTGAGTTATGTGTAGTGTTTATGTATCATTTGGGAGTCATTTTTAATTTTCTATCCTTACTTTGTATACTTCGATTTAAACATAGTGGCACTTCAAGTTCACGAAATGAAAGAAGAGGGAGATATTATCATCCAATCGCAAGCTACAATATGAAAAATTCAAGTCGTAACAATGCTCCCGAGTGGATGCGTGTCCCCCTCTCCAACCACCTCATGACCTTACAGTGTCACTACTATGCATTCGTAGGCTTCCGCGGCCGGAATCAATGCAAAAAAAATTAGAGCAGTTTTTGAGAAAACATTCTTTTTTATAATTTGGAATAACTTCAACCAAAAATTATGTGAAAACTACTAGTTTTATCAACAAATTGAACAATGTCTTTTTTTTTTTTTTTTTTTTTTTTTTTTTTTTTTTTTAAAGAAAAGTTTGCAATTTTGAGGTTTCGTGTAAAGTTCACTCGAAAATCAAAATATCCAATTCAAACTCGTAAAGCCTGAAGTTCGTTTCGATTGATGGAGGGATATTAATGTTGGGGAATAATGCTGAACAGTTTAGGCGTGAGCGTTGACACAGAAAATCGTCAATTGATTTTTCGGAATCAAGGACTCACCAAACCATGGATTTTGAGTACACCACATATTACAGGATTTAATTTACTTTCCACAGGAACATTATTTATTCACACTTTCGTTACCAGGGCCAGACAAAACGAGTTTTTTCTGTCCAAAATTTGCCGTTTTCCGGCGCAGTGTTACAATACTTTCTCTTCTTACAAAGTAACGAAGTAAGGGCGAGAAAGTAAAAATTAATTCAAACTCATTGAATTATGCCTACCAAATAAAAATATAAACTCGACCAACTGTTAGAATTACCTGGGGCTGCTGTTTGCACCTAGCAATAAAAAGTGGGGAGAATTTTTGAGGGATGGAAGGACACATAGTCCAGAAAACTTCTGCTAAGCCAGGCACGCACAGTCATGGATGATGCATGGGTAGGAGTCTCCCACTCTCATTTAATTGCATTCTAGAATATACTGTAGATCAGTTTTGAATACTTTCTTCACAATCTAACAAATGCAATTAGCATGTCGTCGATAAAAAATATTTCCATTCATTATAACAATTTATTTATCACATTTTTATATTAATTTAAATATTAAAGAGTAATTCAAAGGAAATATTTCTGTAAATATTGGAGGGGAATAAAACACCACAATAATACCGTCTCTACTCCTATGTAACAGTGTAATGCTGCCCCTCCCCCTTTATCAATCGACGACACCTAAGTATAAAATATTATCTGGACAGTTGAAACTTATGGACAGTATTATCTGGGTTTCACTACAATCTTTTGCCTATTAGCATTTACAACCTCACTTCATAAATTATTTACTCCTTTGGCCATTAGTTTTGCTTCTTTCTCTCCCTCTCTACACATTTCCTGATTATGATTTGTTTGAATTGCTTTATTAATGTTTTCTGGTTTTTGTTCTTGTTCTTTTGTACTACAATAGAGTTTTCCCGCAATCATTTCTTTCTTTTTTCCTACTTCCTAGTTCCTACTACCTCCTTTCCTACTTCCTACTACCTAGTTTTCATTCTTCTTTTCCTACCCTTATAATAATTCTCTCTGAAGTACTAGAAATGGTTTTCATAATCAAGAGGCTTGCTATACTAGTTACTACAACAAATGAAATAATTATATGCGTCGTCATTGCCAACAATATTATTTATTAAAAAAGCAGCTTTCGATGGCTTAGTCATCATCATCAGTTTTCTGCTGTATGGAAGCCACAAAAGCAATGACGACACACATAATTATTTCATTGGAAATGCCAACGATAACTCACCACAATACTTATACTATAACAAATATGCAATGACTTAAGTCAGTGCTGGCAGCGGCAACATAGATGTTGTTGTGTGGTGCAGATATTGATGATGATGTAGGAGTAGTAGATGTTGGGAAGGCAACATGAATTCATATTTTTAATTTTAAACCTTTTAAAAAGTTTCCTTGAACCTGCCACATTATATTAAATGATAAAACATCTCATAAAATCATGGTATACTTACTAACAGGTCCAGTCTTTCCAGGATGTGAACTCTCACACCCAATATATGCAGCTTCAAACAACCATTCCCCAAACATGTGAAGTATACTGTTGCATTTTGGTCTAGTTGGTGCTAAAGGACTACGACTATCATGACCAAGAGACAACATTGCTAAAACAGACATGAATAAACAGAATATAAATTAATATAAAAAAAAAACAATAATACAAATATAAGTCAAAATAACATTCAAAATTGAAAACTGCAATTAAATTCTAGAATTGCTATTCATTGTAGGGACTTTCAAATTACACTAAAAATCAAATTTTAATTCATTAATTCTAATATAAAGGAATGTGAACCAAAAAATTGAAATTCATAGAGTAAATGCAACAGAGGAAATTAAAATTGTATTAATCAGTAGGGGAGCAAATCAAATGTAAAAGTAAACTCAAAAAATGTAACATATGAACTTACAAGTCAAACTTGAAGTTGATGACGGCCCAGAATTGGGAGTTGAAGGAGGATGAGTGGTTGCTGATGCTCTGCTACTAGTTAAACCCAAAAGGGAAGCCTTTGGTATTCCTACTCGACAGAAAATAAAAAGGGACTAATAAAATCTTCCATCAAGGGACCCAAACCTTAATTATTGACCAATACTACTTATAATTAATAAGAATAGTAGTTGATATATGAAAAGAAACATTTATTCCATGTTTCTTCAATGCAAACTTAATATTTTTAGTAAAACCTTATTAGTTTTTGGCATTTTCCAAAACACACTGAAAAAACTTAATAGTTTAAAATTTTAGATTTGCTTCCCACCTGTAATTCTGCCTTACTTTTAACAAAGTGTGATGTCATTTTTTTACTTGCATAACCAGAACTGTCCAATTCACAACGTAGAATGACTAGAATATTCAGAGGAACTATATACTATATGTCATCACTATGTTCACATTTCAAAATCAATTACAAAATATGAAGCATATTTTTAAGGTGACACATACCCATTTATATAAAAAGTTATAATTATATGAAGTTTAATTAAATTGCAATTTCATTAACTATTTACAATTATGATTGACTACACAACTAAGTACTGTCTTGATAAAGAAAATATTAAAATTCTAAGATCTAGAGGACAACAGATTGCTTGTGGATATTGATATTTATTGAAACGTAATTAAAAATATCACACAATGTATCGGATAGAGTCTGTATATCCTTTTTAAGTGTATATCAAAATCATATAAAACCAATACACAGTCACATTAAAAACAAGTCATTTGACATTTTTATTGGAGCTGTGTTCCTTAAGTTTAACTAATATTATATTTCTCTAGTTCTAAGATTTACTTTTTAAATTTCTTTCTTCTTTGTTTAGTTTTTCGTTTTTAATTAGACTGTATGTTGCTGTTTTTGATTTTTATATTCATTTCAAAAGTGGTTGCAATCTGCATCCGCAACATTGTGTGATGTTTTTAATTAAAACATAACAACATCCACTAACAACCTACTTTTATATTCTTAACCCTCCAAGATAATAGAATTTAAATATATTATTTATCAATATTTTAAAATATTGTATATAATCTAGTATGTAACCGAAAGAAACGTCTCATCAGGTATTAGATTTTAAAATGATTCTCCTATCTCCAATAATGGGAGAAAATGCTGAGAGAACCATAACATCCATAACACCTAGAAGGCTGCATACGTCTCATTCAATTTATCAACTAAGATCTCAAGAAACAAAAAACGTTGTAGATATTTTATTTTCATGGCTAGAAAACAACAACATTTACAATGCAATCTAAATATTCAGCACATAATTGACTTCATTGTAGCTTGACAATGATGTTTATTTATTCAGTGCATAAATACTCCATGACCCAGTGTAGAGAAATTCAGTGGTTGAAAGTGTGTGGTCTTATGGTGTATATCTTCAATATGTTCATTTAGAAAGAAAATAATTTGAGTTTTTGTCAGGGAATAGAAAAAATATTATA